CCGCAAGTGTAACAAGTGTGGCTGGGGTCTTCCTCTTTTGGATCGTAAACGCTTGCGCGAGGCAAAGCGTGAGATCGAGCTCCGTGCCACCAATTGGGGACACAACCAGCCTGCCGGAGGATCCACCGAGAACACGATCAACGAGTCTTGCTCGACGGTCGAGGCTCCTGTCGGTGGAAAGCGCAAGGTTGAATCTGACGACCAAAGTACTGCACTGACAAAACGTCACTGTGCATCCCCCGCGCAAGCTCTTGAAGAGGACGAGAGTTATTTCAAGACTCGCTACCGTCCGTGGAAGGATGTCTACCGTGATCGCTTTGTGGTTGGCATGAACTGGAAACACAAGCGTTGCTCTGTTAAAGTGTTCAAGGGTCACCGAGACAGTGTCATGTGCCTTCAATTCGAGGACAACATTTTGATGACTGGATCCTACGATGCCACCATCAAGATTTGGGACACCGATACCGGCGAAGAATTGCGAACGCTCCGAGGTCACACTGCTGGGGTGCGTTGTCTCCAGTTTGACGACACGAAGCTGATCACCGGGAGCTTGGATCGCAGCATCAGAGTGTGGAACTGGCGCACGGGTGAATGTATCTCCAAGTACAATGGTCACACTGAAGCGGTCATTGCCCTCCACTTTGATTGCACTCTTCTGGCTTCTGCTTCCGTCGACCGCACAGTTAAGATCTGGAACTTCAAGGACAAATCCACTTTTGTGCTTCCTCACCCAGAGGGAGTTAACGCTGTTAAGATCGACACTCCTTCGCGTACAGTCTTGACTGCCTGTGACGACGGTGCAGCTCGCCTATGGGATTTGGACACCAAGACTTGCATCCGACTGTTCCACAACCACATCGGAGCCGTCCAGCAAGTTATCGCATTGCCACGCGAAATCGAGCTAGAAAGCCATCTCGCCGACTGTGAGAACGATCACGTCAGCACATCCTCCCAAAATGGCGATGCCGTCAACATCCTCTCCCCCATTTTAGAGGCCAAGTCCCTCTCTATCCAACCTTCGTCTTTCGGTTCTTCTTTCGACCAAGAAGAAAGCCGCCTGGAGCCCCCGCGCTACATCATCACGAGCGGTGTAGATGCCACTATTCGCTTGTGGGAAACCAGCACTGGAAGATGCCTTCGTACCTTCTTTGGGCACCTGGAGGGTATCTGGGCTCTCTCTGCTGATACCCTGCGGATTGCATCTGGCGGTATGGATCGCATGGTGAAGATCTGGGATCCCCGTGTCCCTACCTGTCAGGATACCTTTGAAGGACATAGTGCTGCTGTGAATTGCATTGGACTCAGTGATAGCCGGTTTATTACCGGTGGCGACGACTACCATGTCCGCATGTACGATTTCCGGGCTTCTTGAAGTCCTTTCTTTCCCCCTCTGTTTTCTTAGCTACATTTTTCTGGGATGGAACCGGGGTGTTCAAAATGTGCAATACTCGCGTTCTTTGTTACTTTTGCATTTCTGATTAATGGATGGGATACCCTGGCGCATTCACTAACAGTGGTTTTGCTGGCAAGGAGGTTGAATCTCACAGCTTACTTCTGACTGCATTACAGGCGCTATTGGGGGTGCTTTTTTCTTGCGGATTTCACCAGACTGACTGGTTTCATGCTAATAACACGTCTTCCTTTTCTCAAAAGGCCATAATCAACTTTTATCAAAAGCATCGCATAATTTCATTGCATAGGGCACTCTGGCTATAGTTAGAAAACACCCAAATGGGAAATGATCGACCAATCTGCCCCAGTGACGTAGTGGCCTCTCACGTCGAATCTCCCATGCAAGGGTCCAGGGGCTTCAATTCTCTCTGGAATTAGCATGCCAACCATTCACGTCGACATTAAGAAATACTCAGGGCATTTTGCGCCCTCACGTCCTTGTCTCGGTCCGATGTTGCCTGTGCTGCATTTGCGTTCGCCTGGGGTTTGAGTTATCCACATTATCACGAACATGATACTATCAAATTTACGCCGTATCAGGCGTTGGATGGTGAGCTCCGCGCCTACAATATAATACTATACAGCAAGTGTTAATCGATCTTATAGCTGGGTACCGTCAGTCCAGCATGGCATGAAGAGATGTACGGTCTGCTCGGTCAAGGGAAAGGGAAGACCGCGAAGTATCACTCTTGCCATAGGAAAAGGATGTGCATAATTGTCCTCTCGGCAATTTCGCTCACAACTATGATTTTGTTCTTCAGTCCTCCAATACTGGCTACTCCCGATGAAGGACTTTGTCCCCATCCTGTCTTGCAACTTACAAGGAATGCCCAAAAAGCATTCGATACGACTGTGAAACGGCAATCAAAATCATTAAATGAGGCCATTGCTGAATACAAACGTCGATACAACATGCCACCACCTCCTCACTTTGACGCGTGGTACAAATTCGCCACAGACAGAGGGACAGTCCTGATAGATGAATTCGATATAATCTACCACGCACTACTTCCATTCTGGGGTGTTTCTCCAAGCTTGATCCGCGAACGAACAAGACAAGACCTTGGATACAAGGATAACATGTTCATGGGTTGGTCGATACGAGCCGGCAAGCCGATCTACACTGTCTTTGGCGAACGGTACCAGCGCGATGGAATGAAGATGATCATTGACAAGTTCGCGGAATATTTACCAGATATCGATATGGCATTCAATGTTCACGATGAGCCGCGAGTTGTTGTTGCTCATGAACGGTTGAGTCGGATGGTTTCTCTTGGTAGAGAAGCTCAGAATCAGTTGGCTCGGACATCCTCCCCAAGGACTACATTTTCGAAGCGGGAATATGTATCTGAGTGGATCACATCAGTCTCGACTACTCGATACAACAACCTGGCGCTACAAGAAAATTGGGTGTATTCGAGCATGTCATGTCCTGCAGACACCCCAGCGAGAAACCTCGACGGGGACCCTCGAGATGACACAGCTTCATACGCCGTTCAGCCTCTGGGTTTTGTTTACAATCACACTGCTTTCAGCGATATATGCAGGAACCCTTCGCTGCGGAACCGTGTAGGTCTCTTCAAGGCACCACATATTTTGAAGCTCACGGATGAGATCGCTCCTGTGTTCTCTGTGTCAGCGCCTTCTTCTTTCCAGGATATTCCAATGCCATCAATGTGGTATTACATGGATAGAATGTCTTATGAAGAGGACATTGACTCTGAATGGAAAGACAAGAAGCCTCAACTGTACTGGAGAGGAGGCAACAGCGGCGCTCACACAAAGGCAGATACCTGGCGCCATTCTTTGCGACAGCAAGTTGTGGGGAATTTGACCCATCCTACTTCACCGCAATATACCTTTAAACCGAACTCAAAACCGCCGGCGTCATCATGTAGTGAGTTTGGCAGTAATGATGGAGGTCTCGAACAAATCCATTCAGAAAGATACCGGGACCATTTCAACATCAAATTTACGGAAATTGATTATTGCGAGGATGACTGCCAATCACAAATTGAATTCTTCGGAGAACCAGCCAGTTTCGAATGGCCGAAAGAAGCATGGCGGCACCGCTACTTGCTAGACATGGATGGCTGGGCATACAGCGGAAGGTTCTATGCCTTCCTGCGCAGTAAGAGTCTACCCATGAAACTCTCAATCTTTCGTGAATGGCATCAAGATATCCTGGTCCCATGGGTCCATTATGTGCCCCTCAACAAGGATGTCGACGAAGTCCCCGAGTTGATTCGATATTTTGAAAATGATCACACTGGACGAGTCATTGCGCAGACTATGGCTGAAAATGGGAGAACATGGGCAAAAAAGGTTCTTAGAAAGGAAGACATGGAAGTCTATATGTTCCGGCTTTTCTTGGAGTATGTATTTCCCTCATCTTGCCTTTATTCGAGACTAACCAAGAACAGATTCGCTCGGGTGCAAGATGATAACCGGGAAATGCTGGCGTACAAGGAGTGAGGAAAGTGGGATCCGTCTACAAGCGAGTGTGTCGTGTAGTCTAGACCAAATGTATGTAACCCGATTGGGCTTAGTAGATGAGCAGCACAAAGTTTATTTTAGGTGCAGCCAATGACAGGGGGTGCCTTCGTTTGACGGCTTCCAATGTTTGGACATGCAGTATCCAACTCCCTATTATTGCAAAGATATTCCCGATTCTCAATACACGATCATATGGCGGCTCCAAATCGGAATTGCGGTACATCAAACTCAAGGTATATTTCTGACACACCATGCTCATACTGACGGCATAAGGAAGGAGTCGAAGCAAGAACTTGAAATCAAGCGGACGATCACGTATGTCGAAGCAGATCCATGAATGAAAGGATGACTAGGCAAACTTGGGGCTGCGCAACCTTACTTTGGGAGAGATACTAAAAAGTTCACAGTTATTCCCGTTACGGCGATCCTCTGTCCTCGATGGGAATAATAAACAAACCTTGTCCCCACAGGTGAGTCAACTCGCTCCTAGTCTTTTGTCATCTCGCTTCTTTCCTCATCTCATTCCGCTGTCTATCCTCGACAACGGCTTTTATATAGCAGAAAGCACAAAGGATCCATTTCTCATCCAAAATCGCCAGCGTGAACATGGCACACAACAAAAAAAATATCCACTCTGATCCAGTATGGTATGATCACGTACCCGCACCAGGTGACGGTAGAGACATCTATACAAACTACAAAAACAACATGCTAACTATAGTCCCAGATCAGGTCATCATTGAAAAGCGACCAGAGCATCCAGTCAAGTCGACATCAACGATGAAAACCCCCCCACCTTTGAGATCCGAAGGCTTCACCTCCGATATCTCCGACGCACCCCATACGAAGCCAGCCGCGCTGACCAAAAAGGGAATGGCCTGGAAAGGATGCTGGGGATGCTGAGCTGTTTGGATGCGAAACCCCAGAGGGCTGCGGCTGATCATATACATCGTTAGCGCGCTAACCATCATGTTCATTTTCGGCAGTGGCATGGCATTTTACGTGACCGGAAAGCGTCGAATGGAAAAGAAGAAGAATTGCAGCAGGAGACAATGAATCTGACGCCCCGTGTGGTTACTTCCAGCCTTCCTTCTGGCCCGAGCTGGGCGTTCTATCCTGATAGCTTACCGGCACACCGAATGGCTTCTCCCACTATCACCGTCGTTGTTCCCATTTCAACACAGGCCATCAAGATAACTTTCTTCACCAAGGTTCGCATATCCCGGGAGACCAATCTTTGTTCTTCCCCTTCCAGCAGCAGTATGGCTGTCACTTTAGTCTGTGAACAAGTGACTTCCTCCCCCATCAAAGGAACAGCAGCTGGAGAGGATCTATAGAGATTGATGGGAGATTCCAGGAGACCCAGAGCCGGCTTCAGGGACTCATACAGTTGTTCTTCCTTGAAAAGGATGACATTGAATTGTGACAGCATGGGTAGAATCGCTGTTCGTCGGGGACTTCTCACGCGTTTTTTCATGTTCCGTTTTTTTAGGTCTTGTGTGTTTTTGAATTGCTTTGCGGTGTTTTAAAATAATGGATCTGCTAGTCATGCTGAAGCTGAATTATGCTACTATATATTCACATTGCTGGCGAGTCAGTTATTATTGAAGCTGTGTCTAACATCACATCATTTAAATGAGCCTTCACCATAAGAGCTACCGTATTTGCGTCTAGGGGCCGATTGGTCACATAGGAACCCGCGCAATATTCTTTTCAGATTTGCGTTACTTCATCGTCAGTCTCACTCGTTTTCCTGACCTTTTTACCTGTTCGTTGCGTTCTTTGCAGTCCCAAATACGTAGGTTTACACCTGGATTTTCTCCCTTGGGAAGCGAGTCCAACCAACGAAAGTTGAGTTCCAACGCGCCTCTTCGCTCTCGCCTCTTCATACTTTGCTCTCTCCACCTGCATTCATACTTCGAGGCCCTCCACCATCCCAACCCTGTCTCGTGCCCTAGTTCGATGCTCTTGTTCTGCTAGAAGCTGTGCTCCGTTGACCTCGGTCAAATCGGCTTCCAGCTGTTCCGTGGTCTGCTCGCGAGCAGGCAATATCTCAGAATCACTGTGAGTTTCTGCTATACTTCGCATTTGCTTTCTCCTACACAGACCACAGACCTCATGTAACCGCCAGACTCCTTGTCCCAGATTGATGCCACTAGGTACTTCAGTACCTTGCCAGGCATGAGAACTCCTAGCGAGGATTGGTCACCTCTGACCGGTACAAACCTGCAGAGAATCCCCGTTGTGTTCCTCAGTTGGCCTCAAACTTACCCTCCGTGAGTGATCGGGGAAAATTTGTATACTTTGCTGCTTGGTGCTAACAGTTTAACTTCCATAGACGCATCCCGAACGAGATGGCCTACACAATTGAAAGATTGCGCCAAGCGCAGAAGCTCTTCAATGGTGCCATCAGCCAGTTTTCCGTTCTTCCGAAAGTGCAAAGCCCGTACAATCTTCGTGAGCGTAAACGTCCCGAGATCCTTGGATCATGGCACGATGATTCCAACGATGAGGATTATGATCCCGACAGAGATCGAGTCCGGAAGAAGCGCAAGGGTTCTGTTGCCCAGTCTGCGGGCTCAAGCCCTCGAATGGTCAGGAAGACTCGGAGTATGTCCTTTTTGGCCGGGCCCAATGTGAACATGGACTCGGACCATGACGACGAGGAAGAAAGTCACCCTGACCCAGATACCTACCACAGTGAGCCTGAGCCCGATGCCTGGGACCAAAGCTGGGCCGTGACTCCTTCGACCACTCCCAACTCCCGCTATCAACTGCGTCCTCGTGCTCAACCTGAGACCGAGAGCCCTGCCAAGGCCAAGGCTGATCGACGCGCCGCCATCACACCTCATGTGCCTGCGTTTGCCTCCTCGTCAGCAGCGAAAGATGAAAACGACCTCGCCCGAAATTGCGAGGCCTGTCGTGACCTCGGCCAGGAGTGTTCCCTCGAAACTGATCGCGATCCATTTGCCTACCCGTGCGCCGAGTGCGAACAAGATGGTCTTGACTGTGTGTTGATTCCTGCACCCAAGTGGAAGCGGTCGTGCGAGAAGTGTCGTCGCCGCAGCAATTGGGAGCCATGCTCGTACCACTATGCCGATTATGACCATGAGCTGCCCTGCCACTCATGCATTGATCACGGATATCCTTGTATTGCTGGCCCGGCCAGACACATGCCGTCTGTTCTCATGCCACAGGACCAGCAGATTGCTGATGAAACTGACGAGGATGAGCCAATGTCGGAAGCCATACTCGATAACGCTGAGCCCTCCAATATCAACGAACGGAACCCTATTGAATCGATCAAGATCTCAGACGAAGAGAATGCTACCGAAGGCAACATCGAGGACGAGGAAATGGGCGAGGCCGCCATGCCAAAAGGCAATGCACTCCCCACCACGAGCCACCATGGTCAAGTCCCACCCGCCATTGCCTTTGGGGAAGTCCATCGTATCCAGACCGAGTTTGCCCACCCTCTTCACTTCGCTGGTGATCCTGATTATCCACAAGAAGGCCCTCGTTGCAACTGGTGCCACAACTTCGCTTACGGCATCGTTGGACTTGGTGCTCGCAACCCGGAAGTCATCGACTTCGGCACCAAAATGATTGAGATCCAAGATGGACACACCAGCGAAGGAAAGGAAGAGACTCGGATGTGTCTGGACTGCGTTTGTCACCGAATCAAGATCATTCAGTGCACGCATGGCAGCGTTGGCCCTTTGCGTTCGCCTGAATCAGAACGGGACCCGTCGGAGGAGATCGCGGAGTGCGAAAACTTCATCAGAGCACGTGGTGCTATCGTCGACCCCCGGAATAATGCTTCTGGTCCCCCTTTTGCAACCAATCGTGAATGGTGTGGCATATGCCGCAAGCCCGCTGCCTGGACTTGCAAGACTCCCCAGGCTGCCAACATTTGCGAGGCTGTAATTGACTGTGATAAGTTGAGCTATGGATGTGGTCTGCACCTCTGTGACTTGTGCTGTGAGCTGGTGAAGTTTTTCGAGGGAGATCTAAACGCTGTTTACGACCAGTATGTACACGAGCAAGGCATGCAAATGCAGTTCCGTGCCGATGCAGAGTTCATCCTCTCTGGTGCCGACAGGAACCTTGTCTACAAGCGTATGCTAGTGGACTAGGTGGTTATCTACTCTTTACGCCTCAGGAGAGAGTAAATATGATCCGGAGCCTTACATTAGTTGATACAATGCAAATATGTGATGACTATGCGTTGAAATGTGAGTGTATTTTTGTCTAAGGGTATGATTAGTTGATTAGTCGTGACTGTTAGGATGTAGCTGTCCTAGAGTGTTTTATGTCAATAGTGAGGCGTAGATGAATGATAAGTCGTTTGATTGATGTCTGAATAGTGGCATTGTGCCCAGGTGTATTGCAATATGTAGATAATTTGCCCAATCAAGCCCAATGGACAATTAAAGGATCCCGATGCATTGTGAATAGCGTAACAATAGCTATTGACGACCGTCTTTCGTGATTCGCGCGTCAGTCGTATTGATCGCATTGGACGAATACGTCCAGCTTCGTCCAGCTTCGTCCGGCTTGAACATAAAGTCGACCTTTGCACTCATACTCCCTCTCTCTTTTACTCTCCCAATTCTATTTCTTCTCTTTACTTTACGCAGATTCCAGTGCAGTATCTCCAAGTTCAAATTTAACGCTTGAAGTAAGTAGGGCTTCCGCTCCGGGAAAATGCACTGACTAAAGGATTTTCTGCCAGCAAAATTGTGTTTCCTTCCCATCCAACCTTCTTTTTTTCGTGTCATCTCTTTCTATTTCTCTGCCCCGAGCTGCGACACGAGGTGCGCAGCTCACAGTCACGACGTCTTCTCCAAAGCGCCGCAAAGTTTCCCCAGAGCCTCGCACCAGTCCAGGCCTTCGAGCTCGACGTCACGGCCGCTCCGAACCTCCCTCCCGCTCTCGCCACCCTACGTCTTCAAGCCGGAGCAGCTCGTCCCTTTCTCCGCCCAGATACGTGCCCGCTCATCTGCAGTTCCAATCTGAGACTGTGCCTGGTGGCCGTTCGCCGACTCCCGCGACCGCGACCGCCGGACTCACTCTCTCAAGCGAGCATTCCGACATGCCCTCCGACACTCGAGAGGACACCCCTCTGAACACCGATGGCCGCTCATCTTCTCCCGGCGAAAAGCGCCCGGCATCGGAAATCACTGACTCCGACCCAGAAGGAGGCGTGAGCACGAATCTTAGCAGCAATGCGCGCGCCACTGAGGACAAGGCCGGCGCAGGCGATAACTCTGCAGCTCCCACCGCTTCGCATGCGGATACCAATGCGCCAACTGCGGCTCAGCAGTCCGGATCGGAATCATTGAAATCAGACAAGCCCACGATCGACGAGCAAGTGGCAGAAGTGAATGCGTTGAGGAACCAGCCGATACAGAATGGTCAGAAGGGTTATGTGGTCTCCATGGCTTGGTTGAAGAGGGTGCTGGCCAGAACTACCGCCTACGCGGATCAGGCAGACAAGGAATCCCAGGAAGCTGAGCTCGGTCCTATCGATAACATGGATATCGTGCTAGACACCGACCCCGCCACTCCCAGCTTCAACGATGAGTCGGGCGAAACGTTTGTGCCGATGCGCCCTGGCTTGCAAGTTGATCGGGATTTCGTAGTTGTTCCCCAGCAGGCTTGGAACCTGATGCGTGGATGGTACGGCGTTGCCGACCAATCGCCTATCATCGTTCGATACGCTCACAACACGAACTCGCCCGGCGAAGACGAGACGATTGAGTACGAGACCAACCCTCCAATCTTCACAATCTTCAAATTGTCCAACCCTTCCGCGGGAACTACGCCAACAACACTGAAGGAAAAGGATCTTCCGTCCGTCAAGATCTTGGCTAGTCGCCAGACAAATTATCAGAAGTGGTTGAAGAACGCAAAAGAACAAGCTGGAATCGAGATGGCTACCAAGGTCCGAGTCTGGAAAATTCTTCGTCTTCCCCAGAGCACAAACGGTTCGACCGTTACGACCCCGGCTGTTTCCCGCAGTACTTCACCTGCTCCGGCCTTTGCACTGGTTCCCAGCAAGACCGACAAGCTTCTCATGGATTTGAATGTTTTCCTTGGCCTCTCAGAGGGAAGCCAGCGAGAATTGCTTGACCGTGCCAAAGACCAGACGAACAACGCAAACTACAATGGCCGCATGAATCTGGATATGGCTGGTCTCGGAAATGCAGATTGCCTTGTTCTAGAGGAGCAAATCGGTGGAACGAAGGGTGGAGACTGGGTATCAGAGGCATCTGCAAGGACCTTGAAGAACTTGGGCATCCCAGTGAATCAGCCCAAGACTCTCACCATCAAAATTGCCGAGAACAGCCCACCAGCCAGTACCGCCAGTGGCAGATCCACTCCCTCTGGGCCTACCCCTATCAAAGGATTCACTGCTCGAGGCCGCAGGGGCCGACCACAGAGACTTCTAGGACTGGAGAATCTCGGCAACACCTGCTACCAGAATTCGGCATTGCAATGTCTGCGAGCCGTGGAGGAGTTGACATACTATTACCTCAGTTCGTACCTTCATGTCACAGTTGGCTCTTGAGAGAGACCTTGGCCGCTAACACAAACATACAGGTGGTGCGTACAAAGCCGAATTGAACCTTGGAAACCCTCTTGGCTACAAGGGTGCGATTGCCAAAGGATGGGCTACTTTGCTTGATCAGTTGTACAACTCGGAGGCAGGAGAGAGATTCGCCAACCCCAAACGTTTCCGGCATACGATCGGTCGTTTCTACGAACCTTTTGCTGGCTGGGAACAGCAGGACAGTCAGGAGTTCGTCATGTTCATCCTGGATGCACTCTCAGAGGACACGAACCGTATTGCGAAGAAGCCATACACGGAGATTCCTGACTCTACCGATGAAATGGTTCACAATCGCAAGGCTTTGGAAGAATTTGCGCTGAGATCATGGGACATCTACAAATCCCGCAATGACTCCGTCATCACCGACCTTTTCGCTGGCATGTACAAATCATCTGTGTGTTGCCCAGATTGTGAGAAGACAAGCATTATCTTTGATCCTTTCAGCACTCTCACGCTCCCCATTCCGGGTCCCCCGGCCCTTATTACCCGAAAGGTGACTTTCGTTCCTCTCGAAGGCCATCCTGTTTGCCTAAGCGTTCAGCTGGAAGCGTCTCTCAGTTTGAAGGGCTGGAAAGAGTATGTTGGCAAATGGATGGGTGTTAATGCAGACCAAATTGTTGCCGGAGAGGCCCACCACGGCTCGTTCTGGCAATTGTTCCTAGACGACGACGTTTCTTTCGGCTCTCTTCGCACAAAGATTGACGATCAGATCCTGTTCGCCGACGTGGGTCCTCTTGATGAAGAAGGCATCCTTCTCCCTATCTTCCACCGCAAGAATACATCTCGCAATGCCAAGAACAATTTCCGCGATTTGTTTGGCCTTCCATCATTCGTCCACTTGTCTCAGGCGGAATCTCATGACTTTGAGGCAATTTACCGCAAAATTCTTCGCTCTGTTGCTACGATGACTACTCGTGACATCCTGAATAAGGACGAGCCCAGCATGGATGACCAAGGCACAGACGACTCAGACACTGTTGTCACCACAGAAGATGACGCTCATTCAGCTGACTCCAAGATCAAAAGCTCATCTGTAGAAGGTGAAGACAGTCTTGTGGACATTTCCATGCAAGACGTCCAGACTCCAAAGACTGGCGATGATATGGAAGACTCCGCTTCTGACTCTGACTCCGCGGACTTGCCTCATCATCCCCTGGCTGGCAGAATTTCCCGAGAGCTACTAAGTCTTTTCGAGGCCAAGGTCCTGGCCACCAAGTCTCCTCTGCCAGATGGCCGCACTCTAGGCCAAATCAGAAACAAAGAATTGCCTTTGATTTCCTCTCGTATCCCAACTGATCATGATTCCAAGAAGGTATGTCTAGATTTCTTTCGTCCATTCTTTGATATTTGTTTTTCTAATTTTCTCCACCAGGGCTCCGACTCTGCTTCCCATGTTTCAGCAGAAGACAACAGTGACGATTACAGCGATACCGATGGATCGGATATGGAAACCACAAAGGAAGAGTCGATCCTTCGCCAAGGCGATGGCATAGTGTTGGATTGGACAAATGAAGGCTTCGATGCCCTGTTCGGCGGCAACCAGCGTGACAACGAGCTTCGAGGCCAGCCTTCCTACAACAACGTCAAGGTTCTCACGGACCCTGAGGCTGTCGCCAAGCGTCAGGAGCAGGCGAAGCTGAAGGCTGCCGGTGTCACTCTCGATCAATGTCTGGATGAGTTCAGTAAAGAGGAAGTTCTTTCCCGTGGAGATGCTTGGTACTGCCCTCGTTGCAAGAAACATGTGCAGGCCCACAAGAAGTTCCAGCTGTGGAAGGCTCCCGACGTTCTGGTCATCCAGCTCAAGCGTTTCACCCAGGCCCGTAGCTTCCGAAGCAAGCTTGACACCCTGGTCAAATTCCCTCTTGAGAATCTGGACTTGAACGGTCGAGTGGAGGGTCCTGAGGATGGAAAGAGCTTGGAGTACGATCTTTTCGCCATCGACAACCACCTCGGTGGACTGGGTGGGGGCCATTACACTGCTTACATCAAGGACTTTTTGACCGGTGAATGGAACCATTGCAATGGTAAGCTTTTCAATCTCTAGCATGGTGGGGAACCTGCAACTGACCTTTCTAGATACCCACGTTCGCCCTGTCACACAGCTTTCATCTATGATTTCCTCCAATGCCTATCTCCTATTCTACCGTCGTCGTTCCGCTCGTCCATTGGGCAACCAGGGATTGCAGGAAATGGTGGAGTCTTACAAGACTCCTACGGCTGACGGTGGCAACTCGTCTGCATCCCAGTCACCTTCGGGGGACGGCCTCGGCGCCTCCTCCCGCAATGGCTCTTCGAGCGCCTTAGCCCCAGCCGGAGCAACTCCCCAAGCGGGAAATGGTGGTTTGCGCGCCAACAATGTGGGGACGGAGGAGAATGATGACGACGAATATTCTACAGACGATGACAGTGATACTGGCTTCGAAAATGGCGAATCCGAAGGTATGACTCTCACCAACAACGAAGATGAGTCCGATCACGAGGACGAGGGACTCCCGTACCAGGACCCATTCAGCATCTTCAAGGAGCCTTCCTGGTCCTTCGATCAAGCGACCGAAGCTCACGACATTCCACAGATGACTCCGGTTAATGCCTCTCATGACGACGCTGGGCTTTTTGATGACAACGACAGCACCGTTGCAGTCGGTGACGAAATGGACATGGACACTGGTCTCCACGACCTTGATGAAGCTACTCCCGCCGCTCCCACCCCCCAGACTGGTGCCTCTTTCGAGGATGTTTCCAACATGATGGAAGATGAGTCCTCCGACGAACTCCCGGTTGTGGAGTTACGTGTGGGCGACGAGGACAAGATGATTTCGGATTAATGAACAATGAACAATGAACAACAAATCAACGAACTCAACAAAATCACAAAAACAAGAAAGAACAAAGAAAAGTGAAGATCTCTGGTCTGAAGATGATCTGGTGCATCAGGCGTTTTCCAACAGGGTTGGTGGGTGGTACATACATAGGAAAACAGGATCTCATGTTGTTTCTTTGCGTGTCAACATTGGTAGTCTTCCCACAGTTGCGGTGGCATGTATCTACCTGGTGGATTTCTGATTTCTAGGACGATTACCCTGGTCTTGATCAGCTTGACAGGGTCCTGAGACGTGTGGATCGGTTTATTTCATAGTTGTTGGTGTATCTTATGGCATCTTCCCCACCCGCATGGGGCAACGGCATTGTCTGTTAACTTATTCCTGGTCGTATCCTTTCGTAGGTTTTATATTTTCCTTTAGTTGGCGTCAAAACAGCAGTGCCTGATAAAGGGTCACCACGACCCACTTGTGCATGTAGTTCTGTGAGATGTAAGAGCCTTTATCATTGCTCATTCCGGCGCTTCAAATATTATAATGAGACAATGCAATGGCAGTCTCGGCTCAGTTGAAGGCATTGGGAGAAGATGTATAGAGAGTGCGCTCCTTCCCATTAGGGCTGGGATATGCCCACCTCAATATGACCTCGTATTGCCACGTCTCGCTTTATTTCTCTTACTTTGATCTGATCTCCTCGTATTACCACGCACCATATACAATGGATTGATGCGCTATGTACCCAGGATTTATAACCCCCGATGGGCTCCCTCCTGACTCCAATCCCCCATCTGGCCCTCAATATCTTCCTGAGTTTATTACAAGACGTCACCGATCCCATCCCTGGCCCCTCAGAGATCGTTACGACCGACACCTCCCCAATCGAACCGCAGAGGAGAGACGAGAGACCCAACGTCTTGAAGATCATCGCAGCCAAATCCTCGCATCCATGGTTCCGTCTTCATTCAACCACCTCGGATCTCCTGGGCCAACTCTTCCACGCTCTGTTCGACATCGCGCGGCCAATCTGAGCGAGGGCGAGATCAGTGTCCTCGATCTTGGTCCCAGTCTGCAACCCAGTCTGGGAACTACTCCTACTCCCATTTCACGAATTCGTCACAATGGAGGCTTGATGAGTGAAAACCCCGCTCTATACACTGCTCTTGCTAGCCTTGCGACAGACGATGACGGAAATGAACAGCGGCTGCGCACTGACGACCTGGAATCTGAGGCTGTCAGCTCTGCCAGTGAAGTCTCCAACCCACACCCTCTCAGTCACCGCCAGCGCCGCCAAAATATCATTATTCCACGTTGCTCTGGACCAGTCAATTTTGGTCCTCGATCTGTTCGACAACTCCGTGACAGCCGCGTAGCTTCCTCCGGCGACGTTCAGAACCTCGGGCACGGTTACGGATATGGATATGGCTATTCGATGCAGGACAATCACCTTTACTTTTCCGATGAGTCCAACGGCCACATCATGGCCGGGTCAGTTCCACACTCTCCACGATCGCCTCCTGCACCCCTTCGTCGTGTGCTCTACCCGGCGGACTATTACATTGTACTCGCCCCTGAACAGTCGAATTTGCGCAACGTCGAGCAGGCAAATGACCTGACTCCCGGAGACAGCTCCGTAAACCCTCTGGATGTGGATGAGCAACGTCGGCAGTCGGACACTAGTTGAAAGGAGGCAGCATTATTGCAAATACAAGGCCATTCTGGAGGGATGATGGGACATATTGATATCCACGATGATTGGAAAAACCTCAATGATTATTTGGGAATAGGCTGGGGGATATGAATGGGAAACTTACGGCATGGACCGTTGTCACCACTCACTGAGATGGCTCTTTCATGGTTAGCATAATCAGTGCAGTTCAATAATCAACGGGATTGTCCAGCCCAAGGTCTTGCATTTTGTCTTCAAATATTATTGCGTTCATTTCCTGACATAAAAGTAATCCTTTTCCATTCATTATGTCGTTAGTAGCTAGTCGTTTTGTCTAAAAAGTAAGTACCACGTCGCCCATTCGCATTTCCAATCTGTGCTCTATTAGAAAATCTAACACAATGGTAGGCCCGGAAGAAAGTGAGATCGTTCAGGGCCTAGGGTGATCGCCAGTGCAACGGTAGGTACCGCCTCTTATAGTTGATCGGCCACTAGAGAAAGTCCAATCTGCCATTTGGCCAATACAGTTTTTCTTTTTTCCTTTTTCCTTACAGATCTCGAATGTGAAGAAAAATAAAGAGCTCAAAGGTAATCAAATTTTGGGCTTGGTCGGACTTCTAAAAACACCTACGCACATATTAAAGCAGTGCGTGGCTCGCTCAATACACGACTTTTATTCTCCATAAATCTTTACGGTTCTTTGTCAACATGGTCAACAACAAGCCGTCCAGCGGTGTTTCTCTCAGACTTATTCTGAAACGTCGGCCATGTATATAACTGTTGCGCTTTATAGAGATGGTATGTGCGAATTATGGTCATCAAATGCTACATGTGGTATAGTGTAAGTTAAACATAGATATGACATACTCTACTATGAGCCAAATTAGGCCTACAAATCATGAATAATCATGAGTAGTGAACTTTGTTTTTATTTATCCAGCTGAGGTCGTGGGTTCCCATTATGTATCTCATCTCAGACTGTGGCTATGAAAAGGGGTCCATGCTAAGCATTCTCACTTCCAGGGTTGTTCAGCCACATATAAGCTTGCCAGGCTCCGTCAGTCAACAGGCCATGTTTCAACTGTCAGATTATAGTCCCCTTCAGGTCCAGAAATAGAATCAAATACGAGAATTTCCGGCAAAAGCGGGTAGAAATGTCACTCTATACCTGCATCAGTTGATTGTCGGCAAATCCCGCGGAAATGTCTTAAATATCGACAACAAGCTTTTGCCTCTACATAAAAGCTTTGTTTGCTCCTTGGCTCTGTGTACACTTTCACTACAATTTGATTACAATCTCTTATTCCGGGGCATCAATATGGCTCTCTCAGCATGCAACGTTGTGTCGAATCCCTCTTTTGAAACTGGCATCTTGAACCCGTGGCATGCATCTGCTGTGGACGTCGCCAAGATAAGCAACGGAACAACTGCATACAGTGGGAACTATTTTCTGTAAGGAGATCTCCTTTTCTAATATAGCATTTGTGGCTACTCAATATCACTCTGGAAATGAACTAATCCATACTATACAGCAATCTCCAAACCGCAGTGGGAAACCGTGGCAACACAATCTCGCAGTCCCTCAAACACCTTAAGCCGCGCTCAAAATATGACTTCAGTGTCCAGGTACAGATGCCATCGCCTTCTGGTTCGTCGTACTGCTCCGTGTATGTCTACGCGGGCCGAAATGCCACGGTCGGCGCAATTGCCTCGGCACAGCTGTTCAGTTTTGGAGAATGGACAGAGGTTACTGGGAGCTATATTGCCAGGAGGGATCATGACATTTTGAACATTGTGGCTGCTTGTGACTCGGAGGATTCTTCGGTTACTGGAAATGTTCTGATTGATAATATTAGCTTGACATCTGGGCAGTGTGTATGGGCTTCCGACTAGATATTATTGTATTATTCCTCGGTATCTCTAAGATCAAATGCCAAAGGGCCTCGCGCAACTGAATTGCTGTTGGCATGACCTCGCTGTGTCCTTGGGCAGGGAACTATATATATCTTGCCAAGAGATATGATTCGAAAAGAAAGGATGTAGTCTGGTGGCCGCTAAAATGGACTACGTATAATTTGTGCCTTCAGTCCGTAAGTGGCCATCACTGCAACTGTTATTTACAAACTAGATACAGCTGAATTATCCAGTTGAAGTATACAGTTGTGGTCTCCCCAGCCTCCATGACGTAATCGCGAACACCGCCTTGCACCAGCCACACCGCGACTTCCCCCGCGCAGATCCCCAGGCACAGCTTCTCCAAGTTCCAGCACACACCTTCATCATGTGGAACGATGAGGACAACAACCCCTATGGGGCCTTTGATCAGCATCAGTCGCATTTGTCCGACTCTCTTCACTCAGCTGCGCTATCTCCTCGTAAGGGCCTCAGCTCTAATCATTCTGACTTGGAACAGTCGCTCACATCGCTTAGCTCTCTTCGCACAGGATTCTACTCCTCCATCTAGCCGCGACTCTAATCTCGATCCTCCCGAATATATCACCAACCCTGAAGATCTCAGTGATCCCGAGGATGAGGCCGAATATGGAGCCGCGAGCCAACAATACCCCCGGAAGAGCGTTTACGACAGCCGGATTGAGCAGATCCTGTATGAAAATCCGGAGATGCCAATTCTGATCACGGACGCCGGCAAGAACCATGAGAGTGGCGGTGGATTCATTGTTTACACTATCCGGACTGCGGTAGGATGATGGCGTTCGGAGAGTATTCGTGCTGTACTGAGTGATGACAGGATCTGGAAGTGCGCCGTCGATACTCCGAGTTCGCCTCTTTACGACAGACTCTTGTTAATTTGCATCCCACGCTTGTTGTTCCGCCTATTCCCGAGAAGCATAGCATGGCGGACTATGCGGCCAAGCCCACCAAGGCCAAAGAAGACACAGCAATTATCGACCTTCGGAAGCGTATGTTGAGTGTTTTCCTCAACCGATGCAGACGAATGAAGGAAATCCGGGAAGATGGAGTGTGGTGGAGGTTCCTCGACCCAAACGTCAGCTGGGTGGGTTGGACCTGGATCCTTGCTGCGAAGTCACTGATTAATGTTTATGCAGAGTGAGGTTTTAGGTTCCCACCCCGCATCATCAGTTCCAAAGAATAATCTTAAGGCGCCTCCTCTTGATCCTGCCAACCCGACACCAGCCCATGGATGGCTGCCAGTTCCGTCTTCGTCCGCAAAGCTTAAGCCCAGCGGCGGGGTTGTCACATCGACAGGAGGTCCAGCATCACCTTCTTCAGCCGAGCCAGAAGGTCCTCCACCTTCAATCCCGGGACCCGACATCCTTGGGCGCTTCCCTCCCGAGTCGCGGAAGCTTAGCGAGCCAGAGCTGGATCCATACTTTATCAACTTTGAAGCATCTACGCGTGAGCTAGAACTTCTTCTTCAGGGCAATATAGAGAAAGTCAATCGCCGCACGCTTTCGCATTTGTCTTCCCTTTCAGCTGACCTCATGGAATTGGGAGCTCGTTACAATGGATTTTCTCTCTCCGAGCAATCTCCAACAGTGGCTGCTGCCATTGAGAGGATCGGACAAGCTGCTGATACTTCTTACATTGAAACCGAAGAATTGTCATCGGCCTTGAGTGCAAGTTTTGCGGAGCCTATGCGGGAGAGTGCACAGTTCGCTAGCGTGGTTCGCGGTGTTCTGCGATACCGCGTGCTCAAGCGGGTCCAACAAGAAATGACCCGGGATGAGTTGGCGAAGAAAAAGACTCTTCTTGACTCGCTGGAGCGCAGTGAGCTGGAAGCCAAGCGCATCGAGCAGTATCTCAACCGCACCACGCCTCAATCTGGTGGTACCAAACCCCGTTCTCTGTCGACCTCGTCAGCCGTCAGCAGCGAGACTGGCCATGAGTCCTCTGCTGACACCCAGTTCCCCCCTACGCACGACGACTCCTACGGCCATCCGCCTGCATCAAAAGCCGGTGGGGCCAAGTCGCCATCACCTCCAGCTCATCGTAAGTCCTCCAGTGGGACTTTTGTGGCGAACAAAATCTTCGGTCGCATCAGTCACGCTATTCACGGGTTCGCTGATGTGGACCCGGAACGAACACGTCGGGACCAGATCGGTAAGACGAAAGAAAGTCTTATTCAGGTATGTAATTGGTGGAGAGGCTTCAAATGTTTCCAGAACTAATGGAATGTCTAGTTGGAGCAAGCATTGGAAGTTTCCGAAAAGGACGTCCAGGACGCTAGTGCCGGCGTCCTCCAAGATCTCAAACGCTTCCAGAAGGACAAAGAAGCTGATCTCCGGCGGTACATGGTATGCACGGCCGCGGCCCGGTTCTCCACTCTCGCTAACATTCTGTAGGTTGCATATGGTCGTTGCCACTTGGACTGGGCGCGGAAGAATCTAGAGACCTGGACCGAGGCCAGAGATGAGGTGGACAAGATTGTGGCTCGGTAGACCGTGTATACTTCCGAGTTCGAGTTCTGGCGCCGGCGTTGGGGGATATCATCTACTAGCTTCAATCCATCAGCATCCATTTAGTGGCTTTTTAGTACTGTATAGCCTTGGCAAGACAATGGCGTAGAATGTTTGCGGCGATGTCTCATAAAATAAAGGGACATCAGGGCCATTGACTCTCCTGTCAAGGTGGAAGTGTCAAATTCGTTCTCGTCCTTACGGGAATAGCGCAGGGCACATTCCACCTGGTCCGTGTGGGGACAGGCACTACACCTCACCTTCACACCTCCTTGCTTCACATATCCAGGGTGTTTCTGCACTCTGCATGAATTGCAGTAAAAAAAGTGTCAGTTTTAGCGCCCATTGCCATACATCACAACTCGTCCAACTTCCAACTGAAATCTTTCCGCATTCGTCACCAACGCCAAGACATCAACATCAACATCAAGAACAGGTCGAAGTGGCATTCCACACCTTGCAGGCATGCCCCTCTGTGGACCTCTGACTCTGCTGCATCCCTCTGGACTCCGGCGCTGAACCCCACCCTCGAAGGGTGGACCGCCGTGCGTCGACTGAAAACGATGTGTGCCTGGATCCATCGCAAGGATGATCGTCAGGGCCAGTCACTTATCACGGCCGGGGATGCCACCTCCTGGGGATTACGACAATCCTCAACTGTGGTCTCTCCGGTCTCTTTTGGCACAGTTCCCTCGACGCTGGATCAAGATGCTTGCCCTCCTCGGTCTTGTTGGTTTCCTCTCCGTCGGCCTCGGCGTGAGTATCAATGCGAGAGATCAGAACTTCGAAAATGGTCAGAAACTAGAGGATCTCGGTCAGGCTGTTAGCCAGTTCCCTCCTTCTCGCCAGACTCAGCAACATACACATGATCCTACTATTATTCGTGTTGATGATGAATATTATCTTTACAATGTCGGCGAACATATCTTCATCCACACTGCCCCGAGTATGGCCGGCCCCTGGGAGCATATTGGCAGTGTCCTGGATGGCAACAGTGTGATTCCGAAGGGTGACCGAGCCGCACCTTGGGCCCCGACTGTTATCGCCGTGGATGGCACATACTATTGCTACTACAGTGTCAGCAAGGCTGGCTGCCGTGATAGTGCCGTGGGAGTTGCTACATCCGACTCTCCAGGCCCCGGCAACTGGTACGACCACGGGATTGTCATTCAGACTGGTACGGGAAATGGCTCGGACATTGCCCCATACACTATGACCAATGCCATTGACCCTGCTACATTGATTACTCCCGACGGTGACGCTTATTTGACATTCGGTAGCTACTGGAATGGCATTTTCCAAATCCCGCTCGGACCGGATTTGATTTCGCCGGCTAGCACTACGGAGCCCGATGCCCGTCAACTGGCGTGGGAGCCTAAGTCTCTCGGCATGCCGAGCCGGTTGGCCAATAACCTTTGTGGTGACCCGACTGGTCCTCATGCTATTGAGGGTGCATTCACTTCTTACAATGATGGTTGGTATTATCTCTGGTATAGCCATGGTTTCTGCTGCAACTTGAAGAAAGACAACTTGCCGCCTGCTGGTCAAGAGTATGTTCTCGTCACCTTTCCTCGGGACCCAAACTAATTTGATGATAGATATTCCATCCGAGTCGGACGGTCTCAGAGCCCTCGTGGCCCATTCGTTGACAGAGCTGGTACCGACCTCGTCGAGGGTGGTGGTGAAGTTGTCTATGGCTCGAATGGAGATACCTACGCTCCAGGTGGCCAAGGTGTTATCCGCGATGGGGATATCGATGTCCTCTATTACCACTACTGTGAGATCTCCATCGAGAAATTTCCTTCATTTGAAACCCTACTGACTTCCTCACAGTGAACAAGACCGTTGGCATTGGATTCTCGGTAAGCTTTCACTTTGGCAGGCTTGTAGATCGTGATGTTCGCGACATCTGCACCCCTGTCGATCCTCCTTCATTACCCCTTCCGCCTGCTTCCACGTCACAAGGATCTGATCTAACACATGCTTCACAGGATGCCTTCCTTGGCTTCAACCCTCTCGAATATGTAGACGGATGGCCTATCGCTCAGGCCTAATCGCCCATATCACGCCATTCTTTACTCGTCATCTTCGATTTTCCGATATATCTATAGACTAATCACCCGCGATCATCCTTCATCCCTTACGATCTTCGAGCATCTATCGCTCGAATTCTGCACATTTCGCGTTCTCGCTGTCGACATACTTGTTTCCCTTTTTTTTTGTTGTGGAATTCACTGCTCATACGCGCTCTTCTGTCCAAAGACATTTTTCTGCATTCTGCGGCGTCTAGGTCTTGGGGCTTAAAATCTTTTATTTTCATACATTAGATTATGGGACTTGTTTGTATTGTTATCTACCATGCCAAATACATACTACTTTTACCTTTTGTTGAACCTTTACCAGGGTCTATGCAGTCATTAGATTACCCATGGAAAGTCTTGCCCAAGTGACTGGACCTCTATCAGTTAATCGATAGATTTTACGATAAAGCCATCTTTTCATGACCTTTCAATCACTTTGGGGTTTGATAAGGCCATATGGAGGCCATTGATCATGGCATCCCTGACTCGTTCTACTTTCTACTCGGAGTCATATAAGAATGAAATAGGTTATTAGTTAAGGTTAAGCAGAACGAAACATGTGTTAGCCCCAGGCGGCATAGCATAACCACATGAGGCCTAATGCCAGGAAGATGTTCGAATATCGCATGCAGCGTCTCATCAGTATTTCCAACCCTCACCACCCAAAGTCGTCCGATCTTCGAAGGTTACGACCGACAGCAGTCCCAGACCATTTTTCACGAGCCTGTGAATGGCTCCTGCCTCGGTCTGTGGGTGATTGTCGACAGGCATTGTGTTCCTGCTTTCGGTTCTGTTTTCGTCCACGGGATTCGTTTTTGTTCCGGTCTGCTGTTTCACTTTCCCATCCCCTTTGCGACTCTCTCACTTGATCATTGCCATCATGGCCCCATCCATGGCTGTTATTGTGATGGTATCCGCCTCCCCAATCTCCTGCGGTCCCTTTGTTTTCGCTCCATGCCACTCGGCTCTGCTTTGGCGCATTGTCATTTTTGTCCCAGTCATTGCCCTCGTTCGATTGGCCCCATGCTGCTGTTCGATGAGATCCCTGATTGTTGCTCGGTTGATTGTTGTCTTGCCCCCAGGTTTCATTCGCTTGATGATTTTGCCAGTTGTGGTTCGATGGATTTCTTGAACTCCGGTGTTGAGACCTCTTGTTGTGATAGCCATTGCCATTACCATTGTCATGTCCATTGCTACCATTTCGGTGTTGCCCATGATGTCCTCCGTGATCTCCCCACGCAATCTCGGGTTGGTTTGAATGAACTGAGACCGCATGGAAGCTTTGATTATTTGGCTCTGACTGGGCCTGTACCCAAGTCGTAGTCTGCTGTCTTTGGGTGTTGTTGACAAAGCCATTGTTATAGCTGCCACCAGAGCGATAGCCATCGTTATTGCCATTGTTATTGCCTCCGTTGCCCTGCTTGTGGTTGCTGCGCTTTTTTCCTTTGGCCTCATGTCCCCATTCTGTATTCTGATTATTGTGGTTATCGTTCTCGTCTCCGTTGGCCCAGTTGCTTTGCGGTTTGGCGTCCCAGTCGCCTTGCTCTGGCTCGGGATTCCAGTCAGGAGTCGTCTTCTGTTGATCACGTTGTGATCTATTCCCCTTGTTCTGGCTTTGATTGTGGTTTCCGCTCCCCCAGTTGTTTTGCTTGTTGCTGCCCCAGTTGCCTTGATCAGGCTCAACGTGGCAGTCTTGAGCTGGCTTGCCTTGATCACGTTGTGACCACTTGCCCTTGCTGTGGTCTTGATTGTTCGGTTGGTTCTGACCCTCTTGCTGCTGCTTTTTCTTCTCCTGGGCCCGTAGTTTCTTTTGTTGTCTTTTGGACAGAGGCTTTGGTTGCTGCTGATACGGATTGTTGGGGCGTTTCGGGGGAGGACTAGATACGATTCGGTTTGGGTCTTCGAAGCGCTGGTCAGAATTTTGGCGGCCTTTGCGTTGATCCCGGAGGTGAACATACTCTGGTGAGCGAAGTGGAATTGAGTCTGAGAGTTTGGGGCGACACCACCCTTCCGCGGTATAATTTGGGATCCAAACAGGACCCTTGATCTGACCACCTCTCTCAGCATCGAAGTGGTTTTGGGCACGATCCCGATTCCTTCTGGAAATCCACTGCCCTTCAGCAAATCCTCTTCTCACGCGTCTGGCGTACCAAAACCACGCCAAACATAGTATGGCAGGCCCAGCGAGCCCAACAGCAAGTAGGACTGCAATCAAAGTGTTGGTCTGCATTGTAGAAAAGTCAAAGGGAGAGGTGGATTGAATGAGAGGGTGAAGCTCGGCCATGTACAGATGGTAAACGAAGAGGAAGTAGGCGTGGCAGACACGAGGGGACATCCGGGGTAGCTATTCATGGAGGGGGGCTCGAGACCAGAGAAGAAGGAAGGAGCAGATTCGACTTGAACTGAGATTTTATATTCGTTTGATCTATAAACTGGTCTCCAAAGCACGCTGAATTCTCGACAACCAATCTCCATGGACAGACGCCGCTTGTCCTGCACTGAGAAGCAATTTGAGTAAATGCTTGAAAGTTGCGGAATCGACAGTCTCCTTTGGCCCTGAGAAGTCCGGAGATGCCAGAGCAGAAGCGATCGCAATAACGCGGAATCCAAGAGTAAAGGCCTCGGGGGTCGAAACCCAGCCCATAAGTCCATCTTGACCATCTTCCTCCCCGAGAAGACCGATGATGTATGTCAAACCCTGCAAAGCCCAGGAAGTGATCTGTTGCAACGAGGATTCTGGGAATGCTGACTCCTCTAGGCGAACCAGAGCCCGAGACCAGACCTCAGCTTCGCGGATGTCATCAATGAAAAGATTTTGCTTCTCCTCTACAAACAGTACCGTGCTTTCCTGGCGATATTCGACGAGCAAATCGGCCACACGAGCAATATGGGTTGGGTGGTCAGATGCACTAAGCCGGGGCTGCTGGCCTGTGAGGTAGTGAAGTACCTGCTGTCCAAGCAGTGCAGAGTCTGAGTAATTTTCGACGATGAAGTCTGCAAGAAGCGCACTGGCGTTCAGAGGTGCGAGGGTAACATCGGCATCGGGGGAGACGGATGAGTGCGACAACACCCAAGAGGCTGTCGACGCGGACATGTCACGTAGCTCTTCGTCATCATCGTTGAGCATGTCATATAGGACCAGATAGGTATTCAACAAGACTGGGTCAACGCGGGGCTTAGCCCCTGAAGGACGAAGAGCCCGTGCAAAACTGCCGACAGAGGCAACTGCTGCAAAGCGAGTGGTAAATTCCTGTAAATATTTCAATAATTAGCACAGTGACCCTAAGGTACCTGGACAAGGCAACAAAGTTAAAACTTACGGTTTCTTCGCTCAAGGCAGAGCAAAGTTTGATAGTCCAATTGTGAATATCGTTTTCGAAGGAGATGGAAGCGCTCTTGCGATCAAAGGCGAGACGAATCGCCAAAAGGCACCCTCTAAGGCGAAGCTCGGCGTCTGTTGCTTCGCGGTTCCAAGTTTCAATATCTATCTCAGGGAGGAAGTTATTCGAGATGGCCTCCCATGGTAGATCAAGTCGAGAGACGCCATCGAATTGGGATGCCATCATCTTTTCTAGGATAAAGGCCAGATTCGATGCAGCAATTGTTCTCACGTATGGTGGACTAGTGCCAAGAATCACAGAAGTATACAAGTCGGCCAGTGGCTTTCGGTACCTTTCTTCTGTACCAATCTGCTCGTCGAGTCTCTCGGAAATCCAACGAGCAGCATCGGCATCAAACTGCGATACTCCGTTATAGAAGGCTGAAAGACCCTGTGCTTGTCCGGAAGCGAGAAGCTTCAATGTCGTGCACCAGGCGAGTGCTCTTCTTAGCAGCGCGGATGATCGAGTGGCACTGGATAAATTCCACCCTGAATGAGAAGCGTCGAAGACAAAAGTCAAGATTCCATCCAGATCGTGAACTTCAAACATCTCATTAATGAAAGAGGTAACCATGGCTGATTTAATGTCAGTCTGTTACTTCCCTAACTGAATATTCGTTACGTACTCTCGCTTTGGCCTTGAATAGCCCGCTCCAGCGTGCCCACCAATATCTCAACGAGCTCTGCTGCCACAGTCGGTGACTTTCCGACACGGAATAGAACTTCCAGTACAGTACGTAAAGTAGTGAAAAGGTCATCGATGTTAGCTGACGATAGTTAGCGATGATATCATCGGGAGGGCTAGGTTATACTCACAAGTCCAATATGCATCGGTAGTTGCCGCATATCGGCGAAGAGCATACCGCGCACACATAGCCACTCCATGGACATAGTTCTCAGTGATGTTTGACGGGAGCATAACAAGTGCACGCAAAGCCTCGGGGATATTTTGTCGCGTAAGTAGCGAGGCATATACGCGAGCTGCGTGCTCTCTAACACCCCAAACAGGGCTGCTCAAGTGTGCAAGAACCAACCCACGCAGCATCTCGTCAGTCTCATCAGTGAGACTGGGAACTTTATCACCAACCAATTCAAGGGCAGGGAACACCCGTTCGGTGATGATCTCCGTGCCCTCCGCTGCTTCTCCCTGTGCTGTCGTGAGAAGACCAGAGAGCAGCTCTAATAGACCTGGGTACTTGGAGAATGCTATCCTAGATCCAGGCTCAGATCCAGAACTGCCGCCGAAGCCGGGTCCAGCACCGGGAATAGCGCGGCACATTTTCGTAAGTAGGGCACGGAAGAGCATGAGTCCCGAATTCCGAAGCGCCCAGATAGGCGATCCCAGACGTTCGGCAGACAGCGTCAGTGCCTTCATGATGAATGGCTCCGAATAAGGGCCAAGCTTGGCGTTCGTGAAGATATCCTTCAGACAGTTCATTGCATGAACTTGGGGTAGTTCCAAGTACTGTCTCTCCTTATCGTACTCCACAGGAAGGTATGAAATTTTGTGCAGCTCTTCCAAGGCTTCCTTGAAGAATGGCGTTCCCGGGTCCGAAGCAACAATTCCTGTTACCAACGCAGGCAAGCCAGCGGATCGGCGAGTAAGTTTCGATGCCGAGTCGAAGATAGTCGATTTAGCTTCCTGGTACCAACCCCGGGGGAGCTCCCGAATTGACGGGTCCTTCGCGGAGCTACATCTCTGACAGCATGTCGCAAATGTCTGGGAGACGTTTGAAAATGCACCTCTGTGGCGGAGCTCGGCCAATTGTGCAAAACTCGCGCCTCCAATCTTGGCGAAATCCACACGCTGGAGCCCGTCATCTCCGCTTGGACCGTAGCTGGTATTGATCAATGTAGCATGGAGGAGAAGGCTAGAACAGTTAGCAAAAGGAATATGGCCAAAGAATATATGGACATACGTTGATTCACGAAGGGATCTCCAAGAATATGAAAGAACATCCTTGGGTCCCACATTGAGCTCTTCGGTTGGCTCATCCGAGTGACCCTCGGGGGAATCGATACACAATACAGGCTTTGCCTCCAGCCAGATTTTATCACAAATTGAAACAATTCGTTCATGAACTGTCCGCCACGCGGCGCATCCCGACTCATCTGAGATCAAGGTGTGGAAATTGGGCATAAGAACGATGAGCCTGCAAGTTGAATGAGTACAAATTCATCCAGGGGTCTAGAAATTTAGAAATACTTACCTCAAACCAGATGTATAGCCGTGAAGTGGTGCCTCTCGCATGCTGGAATTGAAAAGGCCTTTTGAACTTGATAAGCGCTCCTCGAGCTTGGTCAAAAGTGTATCAACCACAGAAGCCTTGGTGGTCCACCAATTTGTAGCCGACTGGCCAGAGTTTCCTGGAAGTGCCGCAGCGAAGATAATGTGGTATAAACGCGCAACGGTATCGGCGTGATCGGCTCTGCTGGTATTGCTTGCCAGGCTCTCTGCTCGTGCTACCGCATCCGTCAACCGCATTCCTACGGCGGAGCTTTGATCGTTGGTGTCCATGCCATTTAATAAAATCTCCCGGGGACACAAACTCAGGATCGAAAGAGAAGTCTGGCGTACTTCTTCAAATGGATCCATTAGGAGATCAATCAACAGTCGGAGTAAGTGAGCATCAAACACTTCAACTTGTACCTTCCAAACATTTTCAACCTCAGACTTTTGCGGCTTCACCTCCGTGCGTGGATCAAGACCGGAGTCCAGTAGAAGCTTCAATGCCTTCAATGCTGTAATATGGCGCGGGTATGATGCAGTCAAGCGCAAATCACTCCCTAGGAACTGAATGTATTCCCTCAGGAACTCCTTTGTTTCGCTTTCGTTCTTGGCCTGGCCATTGGCTGTTTTGTTCGATGTGTTCTCCGATTTGGAAACATCTTCATCCTTCACAATACCTCCCTTTAGCCGCAGAATAAATCGCCGTGTCATGCTGAGGATCTCACCCCGGGTATAGGCATCGGATTCGGCATGCATTGATGGTAGCCCTCGCAGTATTGCTTTGGTTGCTCCGACAGTAAAAGGCTTTAGCGTGGAGAAAGCCGTAATGAGCAGCGAGAGAGCGGCGATACGGATGTTCGCTTCGCGGTGAAGAAGGAAGTTGCCGATGACTTCGCTCTTCAAAAGCAACAGCTCGCTCTGGTTGATCTTTGCTTTACTGGTGTTGAGGATATCTGCAAGAATTAGCAATCTTTTCACTTAATTAGATGTTCCACGGATTTACTTACAGTCTTCGTGAACCAAATTGACCTTCTTGCCAACTTGTAAAGCAGCGAACAAAAGCATATATTCTGCTTCAGGTTCATCACTCATGTCACCTTTGAGAAGGCTCTGAACAGGCAGGGTCTCTAGGAAAGACCTGAAACCGCTCGGATCAATGGCGAACAACGGCTGCAATAGCCTATTTGACAGATCTTCCAAGCTTTCCTCGCTTTGCAAGACCATCCTTCTCACGGGGGCCACCCAAATTTCTGAGAGCTTTTGTGGCGATGTTTCAGGTTTCATCTTCTGTATTAACACGGAAAGCAAGTTACCTGCCGAGGCAGCCATGGTCCTGTTATTCGTTTGAGTCAAAAGCCCTAGCACGAAGATCCTGGCCGCTAGTTCGTCGGATATATCTGACGAGCTAGGTACATCTTGGAAAACTTCACGATCCTTGGCAAAAACAGTAGTCCATCTTTCTGGGCTCTTTTCTAACCAAGCTCGAACCGAGGAGATGAACTCAGAGGGCAAGAAAGCACCTTTGCGGATGAACGTCTCAAGAAAGACCAAGCATCCCTTAAGTCGCGATTGGGGCTCACCAAGCACAATGCTGGGAATGATGGCGTCAACAATTGCAGTTTGGATGACTTGCCGTGCCTCTCCTTGATGGCGTTTGGCTAGAATGGTCGTGATTGAACCCAACAGGTGCTTGATATGTTTCGGCTTGGCATCTTCATAGCGATTCAAGCAGATGTCGAAGATTGACAACCAGAGCTCGGTAGAGAGGGCCAATTGCTTTGTTGAATCACATTTGGAATTGGTGGCAGCATCAATGAAAGCAGAGCCCGCATTGTAAGCCTCCGCTGAATGAGGTGGTGACAGAGATGGAGTGGACAATGTCTGAAGCAAGGACTGCCACACCCGGTTCACCTTCCTATGAAATAAAAGTCAGATCGAGTTGTGCTTCTCAAGTTAAACACCACTTACTCCGTCTCTTGGCATGTCAGTACGAATTTCACCAATGGACCTTTGGCGATCTCTCGGAGCGTTTTTTCCGACAAAAATTGTACTTTCTGCCCAATGGCTTCCATGTCCGTTGACGCGCCTTGCGGGCGGGATATCTCAGCTGCCATGACCAGCTCGATCCCACATTCCCTGATATTGGATATTGGATATTGGCTCACGGTCAAGAGATATTAATTTTCTTCGTTGCTCCCCGCGCTGCCTGAGGCTCTGATCAGTGGGTTTCCATATCGGGCCTAGCGTTATCCGGCAAACCATCGTTCACGTGACCTATGTCACGGGACCGAAGTTTTTGCTGGCACCGATGGCAGTGGAGCTGCAAAGGGTCATCACCTCCCTCCAGTCTTCCCTTCCCTTCCCTCCTGTACTCTGTACTTTTATCCCCTAATCCATTTATACCTCCTCTCACAATGTCCATCTGGGACTCCCTTGGCGGCCGCAAGCAAAAGCAGCCCGATGCCTACGACTCTTCGCAAGACGCCACATCCTTTCTCTCCGAGGTCGCAATCCCCGATCCTTCTCGCCTTCACCCTTTGGCTGGTTTGAACCAGGACACGCTCGACTATCTCTCCCTCGAAGACTCCGCCCTCGATGAACTCCCGGGCTCCCGATCAGTGTTGCCATCCCGTGGATGGTCAGACGACCTTTGTTATGGTGCCGGTACAACTTATCTCGTTGCACTCACTGCTGGAGGCGCATGGGGATTGGCAGAAGGATTGAATAAGACACCGGTTACGGCACCACCAAAGATCCGTCTGAACGGTGTCCTTAACTCGGTCACCCGCCGCGGTCCGTTCCTGGGGAACTCCGCCGGTGTTGTGGCTATGGTTTACAACGGTTTCAACTCGGCTCTTGGATACGCACGAGGCAAACATGATGCGTCTAACAGCATTATTGCTGGTGCGTTGAGCGGAATGGTGTTCAAGAGCACACGCGGTGTTAAGCCTATGATGATCTCTGGCGGCATCGTGGCTTCCATTGCTGGCGCCTGGACTGTATGTATCACACTGTGTTTTTTTCCGTGCGACTTTCTCTAATCATTCTCTAGGTTACGCGACGGGCGTTCTTCTAGATTGCTGGCATGACCAGTTTTATCCTACTTGACTCCTCGATTCTCCGATTCTCGGTTATCTGAATCTCCATACCCTCTCCGCCATCCATCAACGACATTGGCGGTTGACGATTAGCTACCAAACTCTGTCTTTCCACCTGCGATGTATTACAACCATTTTTTTCCTTTCCCGATCTCTTCACTCCGGCGCTCAAAGCATCCATATTTCGCATTTATGCGTGGGTTGGGAATGGGGTGTGCAACTGGGTTTGTACTTTTGTATTTTTTCTGTGTACATAGAAAAGTCTCTTGCATACCTACGGTTCATTGGCTATGGCGCTTCTGTGTCACGGTCAGTAACGTTTTAATGCTGCTCGGGATTTCCAATAGACAATTTCTCACTTCCTAATATGCATGTCCGTCCTAAAAGGTTGATGAACTATATTTGTTGCGCTTGGAAATTGGCTCCAACGCGAAGGTTGAAAAGTAGCTCTGATGAACACACGTTGATATACAGGTACCCCAGATCAAGCAACAATTTGGCGACTATTTTCTAACAATATTCATCCAGTTTCCTTCCAGTCCCCTGCAGCAACTTCAGGGAGTGCCAATGCATGCCATCTCTCAATGGAAAAGACTTGCCACAGACCCAGCCAAAAGAATGCCAACCATGCCAATAGCAGACTTCGACAGTGGCTGAGGTGAAAAGACACCAGCAGCCGCATTAGCAGTCGAAGTTGCGCTTGATCCACTCGAAGTACTCGAGCTGGTAGAATCCGCGTCAGTGGCTGTGGCACTGAGAGTCACGACGCCAGTGCCGGTAGCCGTGGCTGTCGCAGTGGCGGTGCCATTGGCGTTGGTATTGCACCACACCTCGCCAGCCTCAGATGCCTTGATCAGGCACTCAGCAAGGGTGCCAACACTCTGTCCCTGCGCCAGACAGTAGTAGTCGCAGCCGTCATATTCAACGACAGAGGCGTCGGAACAGCAGCTGCTCATGATGGCAGAGTTGTTGTTCGCCATGGGCATTGCGCATGCGGCATCGTGGGTCGGGATGTCGTACAGCTTGGCATGGCAGCTGGAAGTAGCTGATGCGGAGGAGGTGGTTGAGGTTGTCACAGACATGGTGATGATGGTTTGAACGAGTGGACTGAAGTATTGGGACTTCTGACAAGCTGAATGAGGTGGCTTGGTTAGTATGGTTAACAACTGGGCCTTGGTGTCTTTATACGCCCTCAAACTGGAAATAACCAGTTCCCACTTCACACCACCAGACACGCAGCTCTACTGGCGCTCGTGTTGCTGGGGCAAATCAAATGTAAGGTCCTATCATCCACTGACTGCAGCACTTGCACAGCCTTGGGGTATTGAAGTATACTGCATGACGAAGTGTCTTATGCTGGAACCCCAATTCTGCTAGCCGAGACGAATGTTTCCCTATTCTTGGGATCGATTGCCTAGATTGCTATTTCCGTCCTCTACACACTGTATATCAGGTCTTGGCGAATCCGCTTTGATTGCATTCGAGGGTCGAGTGACGCGTGTTCTACCAGGGGGAGTGAGGGATTATCCGCTACTGCCTGATGCTTGAGAAATATGACCCTGGATTGGTGGCTTACAATCAGGGTGCCCGAATGTGGGTAAAGATATACCATCTTTTCCTATGTGACGGGAAACCCAATGTGTGCTCCTCAGCTACTACCAGGCTATGTTCAGTCTATCCTTGATCTAGATCTATTGCATCGTGACTTCGTATTTTCTTAGCTATTAGCATTGATTTCGAGGTTAGAGATCGCTTCAGCTTGTATAAATATCATATCTACACATGTCTTTGAAATGACAAGTACGCTGGTTCCTGGGTAACAGGGCACGTCAAGCTCGGCCCATGCTCGGACTTTGCTAAGAATAGGATGTGATTGATATCCGAATATTGCCATTTTGGGCCATTCTGCTTTATGTTTACCCGGCTCAGCAGACAGAGAGCTCGGATTTAGATCACGTCTGGAATCGAGCCAAGTGGATAGCTCGTCGGTGGATCTTTCAGGGCTGTAGTGACCGGCATGCCGTCCCCGAGTGAGAGATACAACGCTTAGAATTCATTATTTAGCAATATTAAACCAAATATCACAGGTTAGCGTGTAAACATGGAACCTGATACTTGCTTCTAAATATATCAGCAATGTGTGTATACAGGTGGGTACTCCGGATTAATATATAACAGGTACAGACACCTTAGATCTCATTCTCTATGGTTTACATAGTTAAATATTCGTCCTTTTGGCTTAAACAATTATTCAAAATGGAGCGACAATTCGTAGATGGTTATATACTGGCTATAATGGTGGGTTTGATGTAGTTGAATATCCTTGTTAGGAATACAACTAGCCAGAGAAGGATGAGAATGGCAAATAAATGCAAATCTCTAAACGCACATAGCATAGAACAACCCCATTTAAACAACTACCTCCACAGAGATCTCTATGTTCAAATTCCGCGTGTGGCGTCCAGACCGGCAATTGCCGACGTGGGGAGAAGAATTTCTGGCAGGCCGCGCCAGAGCCTTCACATCTCCCTTGGCAATGCCGAACCTTAATGCGAGAGCCCCCAAGCCACGCACCAAGACCTTCACTGGGTGTTGGACTTGCCGGGACCGTCGAGTGAAATGTGATGACGAGCATCCACATTGCCGGCGCTGTCAGCGTAGCGGGCTCCAGTGCGGAGGCTACGGCCTGCGGCTAGGATGGTCCCCAACCCCTGGAGGCCGCTCTCATCGGCGGCAATTACGGTCTTTGACCCAAGGGGCTGATGGCCTGTCACCTACCGCTGTGACAGCACTTTTAAATGAATTGGATGGCTGCTCGGGCGACGGCTGTGACCAGCAGCGAGGGCCTTTTTCGGTGTTCTCCGTCTTATCCAAGACGGATGTATGCGCTGACGCTTCACAATCGTTTTCACTACAAATACGAGGAGAGATAAACCAGCCAGCATCAGACTTGAATGCTACTACTTCATCAAGCGACAGAGACAGTGACTTGCCCTCTCCAGGCCGAACATATGATTCTTCGGACACAACGATATCCGTTATATCCGAGGAAGAAATACCCACAGCATCAAGAGAGCCAATCTCCCAGAGGGAAGATGAACTTATCTCGGTCAACCCTTTGGTTAATCAGCACAACTCCAGCGGTCTTGTACTGAATTCAAATCATTGGAATAAGGCCGCGTCAAATATCAGCACGAATGCTGCTCCTCCCTTGCGGAGCTCTTTGAATACCTTGGCCCTACCAAGACCAGAGACAGAATTGATTCACCACTGGGTCGTTTTCCTCAGCGGCAATATGCTGCTCATCGACAACCCGGACAATCCCTGCCGAGCAGTGTTCATGCCCATGGCCTTGAAAGGTCTCGATGTCTCCCCGGCGGAGTCAAATATCCACCTTTCAATCTTCCATGCTATCTGCGCTTCCTCTGCATTTAGCCTCTACCATATTCGCCATGACCAGCGATATCATTCCCTCGCCATGCATCATGACCATCTGGCTCTGCGTCACTTACGTGGGAATCTGCAGCAGGCTCAGCGTATAGATGAGACCACACTAGCTGCCGTCCTCACTTGTATCACGTCCGAAGCGATGTCTGGTCGACGTAGCCGGTGGAGGACACATGTTGCTGGATGTCTTGGTCTACTAGAAAATGAATTCCATGGCGACTGGATACGAAGCCCCATTGCTTCGAGATTGCTTCAAAGCTATCTATCCCTTTCGTCACTCTGCAGCCTTCCTGTGTCTGGGCGGTTGATGTCTCTGCTCAATGGTCCTTCGGAATTTCGACACAATCTCGAGCGATCACATGGAATCACCACGCCACTGGTTCAACTTCTTGCACAGATCACGGCCCTTGTTGATTCTCAGATTCAACTCTCTCTTGAAGAGCTAGATCGACTTGAGATGCAGCTCTACCTTAATTTTCCATCTCTGTCTAACCCAGACGCACCCGAATCAATCATCATCCAACATGCTTTGAACTCATTCTATTACGCCACTATCGTTTACTTCCGCCGCACGTTGCGGCGCGCACCACTCTGCGAGGTTCAGGATTTGATCGAGAAAGCGATTCAAGATCTTGAAGCCGTGGATGCACTCACGCGCGGCAACGGCGGTTGTTCTTATAACTGGGCCAGCTTTGTGGTCGCAGCTGACTGTGAACGGCCTGATCTACAAGATCGTATGTTAGCTTTCTTTGATCGCAAAAGTCGACACGGTATCCAGAATATCAATTTACTGTGCGAGATTGTTCAGGCTTTGTGGAATCGACGGGCAGCGGCTGGTCCGCACGTCGATATCCACTGGCAAGAGCTTGCAAAGGAGGCTGATTTCGACATCATGCTTGTCTAACATATAATATTTATCCAATAATAATATCCTATCTAAATCATCTCAAACTGTGAATCCTCCGTCGACGACTAATGCCGCTCCGCACATATAGCTGCTCATGCTGGAGGCAAGGAACATCATCACATCAGAAATTTCCTCAACCCTTGCAGGGCGACCGATGGGGGTCATTTGGAACTGGGCATCCATTGAGCCGGATTCAATTTGCTCCTTGATGATCGGAGTGTCCACAAATCTATTGATCCTTGTTAGCAATTTCTCCAGGGGCAGGTATATAACAAAGTTCTTACCCAGGACAGATGGCATTGATGCGAATTCCTTGTGGTGAATATGCTTTGGCGTCCTATCATTACATTAGCATTGTTGTTTGCAATCAGAGAAGACTGATCACCATTTTGGTCACTCCAACGACCGCTGATTTCATGGATTAGCCGCGTTCCATACCAAACATGAACTTAGAAACATACCGTGCTTTGCAGCAGTATAATGCGGAATACCGAATGGCCCTGGTGGGCCACCCACACCAAACATAGACGAAACATTGACAATAACTCCTCGACCCTCGCGAACACCACGCGACCTATACAAGTTATGAGTTAGAATGAGTTCCACAGCATGACTCACTTATAACATACTCCTGAGTTAACATCTGCCGGACGAGAGCTCTCTGACAGAGCCACAGTCCAGTCTGATTAATTGCAATCACCCTATTCCATTCTGCCAATGACATCTCGTGAGTGGAGGTTGGATTTCCGCTGATTCCGGCGCAGTTGACTCCAATGTCAATGCTGCCGAATCTTTCCACCGTCTTTTGAACAGCAGTGTCGACAGACGCCTCGTCTGCGACGTTTACCTCGAAGATTTCAACCTCGACTCCTGGGTATTCATTCCGGAGTTCTTGACGAGTGCTCTCGAGGAGAGCCAAGTTCAGATCGACTAGAGCCAATGCATTGATGCCATTCTTTCCGAAGGCCAGGGCGGTGGCCTTGCCAATTCCTATGTATTTGTTAGCGAGTACATATTACTCCGAATTTCTATAGTACCTGAAGCACCGCCTGTGATAAATGCTGTTCCCTTAACCTCGCAAGTCATTTTGAGGTTGTACACGAAGTACGGATGAATTGCCTACTCAGCCAGGGATACAGCCACGTCTTTATCGGAAAGAACACAACGTTTCATCCGTGATCAGCACCGGACGACGGATGCTACTATTCCCGAGGTATTTATGTATTGAAGACGAGATCTAAAGGCGAAGATGTCAATACATCCATGTGGGGCAAAGTGGGTTCTGCACTCGCGGTCAACTTCCTCATTCTCTCTCTATACTTCTTACCAGTGGATCCCTATTCTTTTTTGCAACCGACAACGATCCGAGATAGTCAACATTTTAACGGAAGCTGAAGAGCCGATTATCAACCGTCAACAAAATGGAGACCGGCACAATGGAGACTCGTCACTTCAATTTTCGGTCAACTGTTGCAAGTCATCTAAAAGGGACCAGTGTCCAATCTGAACCCAAGGCGTTTCTCAAAATCTCTCATCTCTGATTATCAATCAAAAGATTACCATGACACAAACAATTCAAATCGAAACCGATGCCATCGTCATCGGCGGTGGCTTCGGAGGCTGCTATTCCCTCTACAAGCTCCGCGAGCAAGGCCTATCCGTGAAACTCATCGAAGCCGGGAGCGCCTTTGGCGGCGTCTGGCATTGGAACCGGTACCCCGGTGCTCGCGTCGATACTGAAATGCCCTCGTATCAATTCAATATTCCTGCAGTGTGGAAAGGATGGAATTGGTCGCAGCGTTTCCCTGGAGATGAGGAGCTGCGTCGATACTTCCAGCATGTTGATTCTGTTTTGGGGCTGAGCAAGGATGCTTTCTTCAATGATATTGTTACTCGCGTGCAGTACGATGCTGGATCTTGTCGGTGGACTGTGGTTACCAATACTGGTCTGCAGGCTACTTGCAAATATCTCATTGCTGCCACTGGGTCGTCGTACAAGAAGCATTATCCCAAGTTTCAGGGCTTGAACACATATGCTGGGAAGCTTGTTCATGCTGCGGATTATCCCAAGGACTTGGACGTCACGGGTAAACGTGTTGGGGTCGTTGGAAATGGCGCCTCTGGTCTTCAGATTGTTCAGGATCTGGCTAAGGAAGACTGCCAGCTCAACGTGTTTATTCGGACGCCCTGCTTTGCGATTCCGATGAGACAGCGTGAGATCACTACCGAAGAGGCTGAGATGATGAAAGGCTACTACGATGGAATCTTTGATCGGTGCTACAAGTCTGTTACCGGTTTCCCCCACAACACTCGCTTGCAATCGGCTCACCAGGCCACCCCCGAAGAGAGAAAGGTGTTGTTTGACGAGCTGTGGGCACGAGGTGGATACAGCTTCCTGGTTTCCAACTACTACGATTTCTTGCTTGACGAAAAGGCCAATTCCATCTTCTATGATTACTGGGTGCAGCAAACTCGTGCCCGCATGACGAACCTGGAGAAGATGGACCTGGTTGCTCCATTGAAGCAGCACATGTTGATTGGAACGAAGCGACCAAGTCTTGAACAAGACTACTACGAGATGGTTGATCGTCCCAATGTCACACTTCACAATTTGAAACAGTCTCCTATTGTGGAGTTTGACACCACTGGCTTGGTGACTTGCGATGGCAGCAGCAACAAACACCTGGATTTGGACATCGTGATCTGCGCGACTGGGTATGATGCCGTAACGGGTAGTCTGCTAGATCTGGGGATCACCGACAAGAACGGTCAGTCTTTGGAAGAGAAATGGAGCAATGGTGTCCTGACGCACTTGGGCCTAATGGTTCCTGATGCTCCCAATTTCTTCATGGTCTATGGTCCCCAGGCCCCGACCTCACTCGCCAATGGACCACCGTTCATTGAGATGGAAGTTGACTGGATCTGCAAGGCCATCGCAAAGATGGACAAGGAAGGTCTACAGTCTATTGAGCCTACAAAGCAGGCAGCCGAGGAGTGGCGCGATCATGTTGCCGCTGTGAGTGAGCATACTTTGTACCCCAAGACTGATTCTTGGTATATGGGCTCCAATATTCCTGGTAAACGCCGCGAGCCACTCATCTATCTCGGTGGTATGCAGCGCTGGTGGCAGAGCTGCACGGAAGCTTTGGAGAACTGGGATGGATTTAGCACGAAATGAGCGGGACAAAAGAAGGGTGTTATAGGGACAGGATATTCGAATACTTGTATCTATAATGTGACAGAAATAAGTAAAAATCATGCAGATTCTTTAGATATTCCAATTTAGATCACAAAATGGCCAACGCATTCGGCGGACTCCCAACAGCACCAGGAACATTCAACGGCGCTGAAGTAAGTAAAAAAGAATACTGCCCACTAACCCAACAAGCCTCACTCAAAGCCTTCAAATCCCAAAGTTCACCAAGCGGAATACCAAGCAAACTCAAACACCACTGATGCAAAACAAGCTCATGAGTCGGCTGTTCAACACCATCAATAATAGAAGGCATAGCTTCAACAGCCATATTATCCGAGGCAATTGCCGCAAAATGTCTATCCCATAGCCAGCGCGCCATCTCCTTACTCCCTTCTACTCCGCACATCTTGTGGCTGCTCATTGCGGCACCTTGTTCCTCGCCTGTCATGCCACCTAGTGTTTCGGTGACGCCGAATCGGATTAGGAGGATGTCGCCCGGGCGGAAGGTTATGTTTTCGTGCGCAGCTACTGCTTCGATGTCTGCTGGCCCGATGTGGAAGTTGGAGAACTTTTCGTAGGGGATTTGTTTGGCGTGTGCGTAACGTGCGAAGTCGATTAGTACCCCTCGGCCTGTTACACAGCCGCGTTGGTGCCAGTCTGGGTTTTGTGTTAGGTTGAGGGTCTGGGGTGGCTGGGGGACGGGGGGTTTTGTCTTACGATCTAGGGTTGGGAGTTGCTGGGCAGGATTGGGATTTTGGAGGTCTTTGATTGTTGGCTTGGCTCCGTTGTAGGTTAGCTTGGTGGAGAGGTGCATGAAGTGACCTGGCTGGTTAGTATTTAGTTCGCCGAGTATTTGTTTCTGGGACGTACAGAAACTATCCCATTGGCTGCTGGCTTGGGTATTAAATTCCACCTGCGATGATCAGTTATGGTCAGAAATTGGGATGAATGGCAATATACCTCATCGTCAAATCCGAAATGACATCCTGATACTGGGTCTTCGAGTTTCATGACATTGTGGCAGAGACTCTTGCGAAAGAAACCGGGGATTTTGATGCTTCCAATGGGCCAACTATCCGGGGTTAGCCATGTCTCGTCTCACGGTGAAGAGTAACTGACTTGAGAGAAATCGACAGCCCTTGGCGGACCTCGGCTGCAGCATCCTTGACAACCTCCGGAGTAAGCAGGTTCAGCGTTCCAAGGAGGTCCTTGTTGCCATTCTTGTCAAACACACCCCAGGCACAGCCTTGGGGCATGCCCTTGACCGGAGGCAAATCATCAAAATTGGGAAGATACGCCATAATCGATGTATGAAGGCGAGTAGCTTGAAAATAACTATAGATGACCCAATTTACCCCATGCCAAGACACGGATGAAGTGAAGCTCGTCGTCAACTTCCCGAAAGATGGCCCCCCCACAGTGGAGTATGCAGTCAAGTTATCCGACAATATTGACACATGTGGGTTGGGTGTATTGCAACTGAAATACGGCGTTTTGGTTATATTTAAATGAGTCAAGTGAACGCTACACTAACCTTCGAGTCTTATCATTCATTATGCATCTACAGTACGACCCGGAATTTCTGGAAGAAGCTGCTCCAATCCTCGAACAGCTGGCGCAAACCCCAAAGCCACCCCTGCATGATGTTGCAACGAGGCGCGCGATGCTGGGAGCTATGACGAGCAAGGACTTCCCCCTGCCCGAAGATGTGGAACATCGAGTTTATCAGGTCGCTGCGCCAGATGGACATAATGTATCTGTCTACCACTTTTGCAAGAAACCATCCCGTGAGGGAAGACAGCCGGCTATCATTCACATCCATGGTGGAGGATACATCTCGCTCAGTGCTGCGCAATGCGCCAGGTCTCATCCACCTGCTGTTTCTCAGACGGGGGTTCAAATCTTCAGTGTCGATTACCGATTGGCACCCGAGAACTCATATCCAACGCCTTTGAATGATTGCTGGGCTGTCTTGGAGTGGGTTCGCAGTAATGCGGAACAACTGTCAATTGATCTAGCACGCATTGCAGTAATGGGGGAAAGCGCTGGTGGTGGCCTAGCTGCTGCTCTGACTCTGCTGGCCCGCGATAGAGCGCTGTCGCCGCCTCTTGCAAAGCAGATTCTCATTTATCCCATGCTGAATGATCGGACTGTGACCAACCATGCGGGGGAGTTGGCATTCTGGGACGCCAACGATAACATCACGGGGTGGACTGCGTATCTGGGACCGGACGTCGGTGGTGACCAGATTGTCCCGTATGCAGCTCCGGCTCGAGTGGAATCGGTTGAAGGCCTACCTGCGCTTTACCTGGACTGCCCGCAATTGGATATGTTTGTGCACGAGGGTATGGAATATGCACGCCGGTTTGTGGCAGCCAATATTCCCACAGAATGCCACATCTACCCAGGTCTGCCGCATGGGTTTGAGGCATTGGCCTCGGGCGCGAGTCTCACAAAGCAGGCCATTGCCAATCGCTACAAGGCCATGACCAGCTTTTGACGGGACCAACTTGAGAGTTGAGAGATAAACAAGAGTGAGCTTCACGGTAGCGGTAGTCATAGCAAGAATGAATATAATACAGCAGGACAAAAAGATGAGTACATGCATCCACGAGTATTCCGTGTAATGTTGTATTTGCCGTCTTGTGTATGTAACACGAAAAGAGGGCGTGTATCAGATACCCGAGTGGGGCGTGGTCTATATAAGGACGGGACGCCAGTTCTGGAGTGTCGGTTTCCTCTGTCAGGTTAATACTTTTTTTCAAGATGACTTCTATCCCAAGACCAAGCATCGATATCGTCCAATGTATTGTGGACAACCAAGTTGCCATCGTCACTGGCGCTGCTAGAGGCATCGGCTTTGCCACGGCATCTCTCCTGGCAGAATATGGAGCACGAGTCATTCTGGTAGACCTCCGAGAGGACGACCTGAAGGCAGCTTGTGACAAAATCGGCGCACAATCCACATACGAGGTCTGCGACCTGAGCGACTGGGATCAGCAGGTGAACCTGTTTCACCGCGTGTCGACTACGATCGGGCCGATCAATCTGCTGGTCTGCAATGCAGCGGTCAATCCCGAGATCGCGCTGCTGCAGGTATCCGACCCGGCGAACCATGCGCAAATGAATTCACAGGTCCGCTTCAATTACCTTGCGGATGAGAAAAACCACCAGAAGAGCGATACCTTGCAGCGCCCTTCGACTACCCTTTTTGAGACCAACCTAAACTCGGTTGTGTTTGGTCTCAAGCTGGGCATCCATTATATGAAGCCATATGGGGGCCGAATCGTGGTGGTCGCGTCAGCGGGTGCGTACGTGCCAATCCCCTCCCAGCCCCTTTATTCAGCGAGCAAACACGCGGTGCTGGGATTGGTCCGCAGTACTGCATTGATGGACGAGGTGCTTCGGTCGGGCATCTCCATTTCCTGGGTGGCACCCTGGTTGACATTGACGTCAATGGTGGAGGGCCTGAAGGCAACCACCAACCCGGATAACCTGAAGAGTTCTCCCGGGGACGTCGCATGGGCCATTCTTGCAGCAGCGGCGGCCGAGGCACCCAATGGCAAGGGGTATTGGGTTCAAGGTACAGCGATCAGCGAGGTCGAGAGAGCCTACGGCGAGGTGGCGGGGCAGCTGATCTCGCCGGAGAATCGGTTCTGAGCGGGAAAGACCGGGATCCTGTACGGCACCTGTCGGAGTTCGGGAATGAGGAACATTTGCCTTCCTGCATTTAGTTCGTGAGGACCTCGTATTGGGTCATTCTGTCAGAGCCTCGAATGTTAGCGAGAATGGGGAACCCAAGACCAAGACACATTTAAGTTCGGCCAAGCCCACTGGGGAAGCTCCGGCGAGATGAGCTAAAATTAACTGCGTGCAGGGGCCCCTGCGGCATATGAGTGGCTGGTTAACCTTTTCCGGATCATTCCAAGTATGAAGCAAGTATGAAGCAAGGGTTAGATATGTGAGGAGAGACAATGCGTAGAGAGAAGAAGAAGAGCGGAAGAGAGGAAGAGAGAGGAAGAGCAGCGGGAAGGGAGGTCTAGACCGGGCAGGGAACAACGGAGTCATTTTCCAACATCTCACCAATTTACAGTCTACAGTCTACAACCTACAGTATATCTACAATATATCTACAATATATTATACTATACTCCTAGAACATACTACTCGACTGGAATATAGAATACAATAATTGATAGCTCACATTGTATACACCCGAAGTATAAGTAAACACTGCGGGGAACACTAACCGCAACCGGTTGTCAGCTGACCAACCTATACTGGTTTTTCTGCATCATCGCCCTCAGTCTCCCGTCATTTGCTATTTTCTGGCGCTTCGGCTTAGTCTTTGGCCCTGCGAGGCATCCCTGCTCTCGTCTCTGTTCTCTTTGGTTACCTCCCAGCCTCCTATGCGGTCTGACTCTTCCGTGTAGATAGACCCTTAACGGGTCTCCACGCTAAGCGCTTTAGGTCCGGAGGCTGAGTCGGATACCTTTCATTGCCTTATCTTGGTGCATCTGCGCATTTGCGCCTTTGCGCCTCACCTCCAGATCCGCACACCCCCGGCTGTGAGAACAGCTTTATCAGTGGCTTACCGGTTTCCCGTTTGCGGTCGAGTCATCCCACCATTCTCTTCGTGACCGAGTCCGGCATGGCCTTTCACGATGCAAACGAGAAGGAGGACGCGCCTCTCTTTGTAGACGACCTCGCTCCTTCCACATTTAATCCGTTGCCGTCACTGCAGATTCGCACCGACTTCCCCAGCCCACGACCGACCAGTTCGCGAGACTCGGATTCACTGTCCATCTTGTCCAGCAGCATCCCACGACGAACCCCGAGTCTTCGCGCCCTCATCGCACCCCCCATCTCCAGTGCTGGATCGTTGTCTCCGGCGTCGATCATGTCCTCGCCGCAGTTGACTGCAATGGGCGACATCACACCCTTGCCCTCCCCGATCGGAGGTGCCTCGCCGTGGCGGGGTCCTGGCTTGCCGTCACTGTCCCGCAGCCCATCAATGGCGTCGCGCAGCGGTACCAGCCTGCGACTGAGTGATTCGTCACAAATGCTTGGACCTCCCGCTGTGTCCCGATCGCGCGGCAAGACATACACAGGCATCGATAACCACGGGGAGGAGTCACCCACTGCGCCCCGTTTGCGTCGCGAGTCCCCTCACAAGCATGCGCGCAATCGCAGTCTCAGCGACTACGCACCCCCTGGTCGGATTTCCATCCCACAACGTCCGATCGCAGTGTCGGGGACCGCCAGTCTAGGGATTGTATCCTCATCGAGTACAGATGCGAAGTCCAATGGGCTTCATCGCGAACAGTATCTGGCGGTCCACCGTGGAATCACTTTGCCGACCATCCGTCCGCCCAGCCCACCTCGCAGTAGTGGCAGCGGCTATGGGGACAGTGATAACGAACCCGTCATCCAACATCCCAAGCCCCTCTCCTCCCCCCAGGAAGTGTATTCGGTACGGTCTGTTCGGACTCAACAAGCTCGCATGTACCAGAAGATCCGGGCTCTGGGTCAGGGTACATTCAGTCAAGTCAGCCTGGCAGCGCGCCTTGAGCCTCTTCCGGACGCCCCTCTGTCCCCGCACAGTGACGGAGGCGCTGAGATCCAGGGCTCGCTCAACACTCAGAAGTTAGTCGCAGTTAAAATCATCGAGCACGGGCCCGCAGGGGGTGCAGACGAAGGGCGACTGGAGGTGTCCCTTAAAAGAGAAGTCGACATCCTCAAGTCAGTCAATCACCCGTCACTCGTCCAATTGAAGGCATTCGGAAGCGATGAGAAGCGGGCCTTACTTGTTCTGGACTACTGCCCTGGCGGGGATCTGTTCGAGTTTGCGACATCTGGAGCTCCCCCTATGTCCCCAGGCTTGATTCGACGCATCTTCTCCGAGTTGGTTGATGCTCTGCGCTATCTGCATGCTAACTACATCGTCCATCGGGATATCAAGTTAGAAAGTGAGGCAACTGCTAAGACTCTTTTGTCTCTGTACTGACCACTGCTCTAGACGTCCTCCTCACCATGCCTGCCCATGTCATGGATAACGTGAAAGACTGGCGCACTTATGACCGTGCCGTGGTCACACTCAGTGATCTCGGTCTATCGCGACGTATCCCCGAGCCCCCCGAGAGCCCACTACTTCAGACTCGGTGTGGCAGCGAAGACTACGCCGCCCCCGAAATCCTAATGGGCCAGGCCTACGACGGCCGTGCGACAGACGCCTGGGCACTGGGTGTCTTGCTCTATGCCATCATGGAGAACCGTCTGCCCTTCGACGTTCTACCTGGGACCCGTGGAGACCCCGCCAAACTTCGTGCTCGGACACCTCATCGCATCGCCCGCTGTGAGTGGGCGTGGTATCGATATGCCGACGAGGACGAAGAATGGGACCCCGAGAAGGGCAAGGGCCTTGATGGTGCCCGTGATTGCGTTGAGGGACTCTTGAAACGCAACACGAAACGCAAGTCCCTTGATGAGATTGCCGCCATGGAATGGGTGCGCGATGCGATCTGTGTGCCCGATGGGCTGAAACGAGGCGACAAGGAAGTGCCGTAGAGCAGGTCTCCCATTTGCACATTGCTGTCTCGTATATTACTTTCCTTACTTTTTCTTCTACCTTCTCTTCTCGCTCTCTTGCCCTTCTTCTTCCATTTGCATATACATACTTATACCTTTCCTTTTTCACATTTGCTACGCGGCACAATGACTAACTCGAATGCACCGTGATGGATATGAATGTTACTTTTCTGTGGCTAGACCAATTGTTATACCCTTTTTACATACGCTACCCTATGAGGTAAAAGATCAAATACAAGAGACTTAACTTCTCTCCATTCTATCGACCAGGTATTGCTTCACTGGACGTAGTATACATGAAGCAGAGTTTCACCAAATGTAACGTTTCGCTTCACCCTAACAGGGATATGCCCCAAATGGCTTATAAATACTCATAAACTTCCCAAGGTCCTATCCAATCCCAGCGGAGTGACATAGATGACCAGGAAAGACCTTCAACGCACCGCGCGACTTACAACATCCGTGTAGGGCTTCCGGCCTTCCGAAGTGGACCCCATCTCAAATATGCCTCAGATCTGTAACAACCCTGAATAATCTGGGATTAATAAGTAATTCTAGCCTTGTTTTCCCGGTAGTTGAAATATTACTATAGACACTCAAGAACCCTACAGTAAGGGACAGGGAATAGTTCCACCGCTGCTGCATGTTATACATGATCTCCAGAATAAGCATTTCGGCTTGTATTCTGCCAAATGAGATTGAAGGATCTCATGCCTCATCTTGTTCCCAAGGATCCATATTTCATACATCGGGTTAGAAGTGCAATCAATCCGATACATGTGAATCCCGACTTGTGATCGTCCTGGTGGTCTTGTTTGAGAGCCAAACAACTTCAATTTCCGAACATTGTGACGTCAAAGAAAAGAATATTCAGCTGAAACTGCAAAGCTTTATTCACGGCGAATCTCATTTGTTGATCTGACGCCCGAGTTGGGGCTGTGCTGAGGCCTCAGCCTATAGTGAGTGGGCCGAGGTGATACTCGCGTGGCGCATGGTTCGTTTCGTCAACAACCTGCATATATCCGTGGCCATCCTTGTCTTTCAGGGATTGGGTCACTTACTGGCAACTATGGAATTATATCAAGTCTAACATTGGATTTGGAACTTCAAAATGGCATTTGGACATTCAACTCGCTCAAGGAGACGCTCTACCTCTCCAGAACCGCCCCCAAAACCACCACGTCCGCGTCAGCGAGCTGAGAGCACACCTGCGCCGCCGACTCAATATGGCTATCGCTATGCAACAACGTCGACGTATTCAGTCAACACTTGTCATGCTTCACCGCCTGTCGCTCCTTATCATCAAATAGGCACAATGTCTATGGTCCGGCTGCCCCCTCAACCAGCCATCCCTCCATCACAGTCTTTTCCGGGGATGTTAGTTGCCAGTCCACAGCCAGTATGGAATCCTCAGCAGCCACTACCAACACAAAGGCCTTCAAAATGGAAGTCATATACGAGCCTTAACCAGTCTATGTCTCATCTTGTATCGCATACTGTTGAGAAAACCAATGCAACTATCCAGGAACTCGAGCAACTTGTTCACCAAAGCTTGGGTGGTGGTGCGAATGTGAATGAAGCCACATCGCGGTTGTTGGATCAGGTTATCACTTCTATTGATTTGGGATCATTCTGTGGAAGAGAGAGTGAACTCAGTAAGCCACAGTTACTTACCTATCTACTCTCTTGGGGCTTGTTGCTGACTGGATATTGTAGTCGCCGCATGTGCTGTCCCTTCTCAGTCCGACAGAAGAGATCGCCGTTCACAGCGAACAGGAAAGAAACACACAGGGTCTGTGGATTATTTCTCCAAAGTGTACTTGTACGCAAACTCACGGCTACCACCGCATATACAAACATTGAAATTGTAAGAACGCCCCCATAGTTTAAAAGACAGTTACTAACATTCAATCCAGTTATCCCGCGACATATCCTCTCCTCCAACTGGCAGCCAAGTACTCCCGACGTGCCTACGACAAGCCTTCAGGTCGTGAACGACATTCATATGTCAACTCCGACTGGCTTCAAGGTACAAAAGCCATGGTCGTAAAGTCGCTGCCAATCGATGATATGAACACAATTGTCTTCGCCATACGAGGCACGCAAAGTTTCATCGACTGGGCAGTCAATGTCCACACGGCACCGACGTCTCCCTCGGGGTTTCTGGATGATCCTTCCAACTGCTGCCATTCTGGATTCCTTTCAGTGTCCCGTAAGATGGCTGCCACTGTTGCAGAACGGCTGCGCAATTTGCTCGAAGAGGACCCGTCTCGTATGTCCTATTCGCTCGTTCTTACGGGGCACTCTGCTGGCGGTGCTGTCGCCAGTCTTCTATATCTGCATATGCTTTCTGAGTCGCCGGCGGTGCAGTCTGAGCTCACACACCTTCGTGGTTGCTTTAGACATATCCACTGTGTGACATTTGGTGCTCCGCCTATCTCACTGCGACCACTTCAGCCCTCTCCCGCTGCCTTGAGGTCAAAATCTCTATTCTTCGCTTTCATCAATGAAGGCGATCCAGTAGCCCGAGCCGATAAGGGGTATTTTCTCTCGTTGTTGGATCTTTACGTCTCGCCCGCGCCGGGCTCAATGCTCACTCTATATGATCGCAAGAAACAACATGCACCTATCTTATGGAGGACTCCTGCGTCCACTCTCGCGCTGGCAGGTCGCCTCATTGTTCTTCGACCGCGAGAACAATGGAGTGGCCGGCCCGTTATTGTAGCACCGCCTGTCCCTGGTGGTCCTCCCACTCTGCCGCCGCGCGAGAAAGTGGATGCTTGTGGGGTTACAGATACGGAGTTACGAGGTGTTGTATTTGGAGATCCAGTCATGCATTTCATGGACTTGTATTCTCGCCGCATTGATGCGATCGCAAGAGGCGCCCTGGGCAAGCGATGAACTCATGTGACTGTGATATGTACCCTTTATTGAGTCTCAATCATGATGGCAGGCCATCTAATTCCTAAGAATATATACCCTTTGAGTAGTAAAACTCCCATCAGAGTGTTTGATCCATGATCCATTCAGAACCTTCAGGTTCAGGGGCACCCAACCAGTCCTGGTTAAGTGATAAATCATAACTGAGCCCCGGGATGGCGGCAAACTCGCCCAGTTCATTGGGAAAAGACGAGAAAAATCCATCAAAAGAAGGAACAGAGTTCGGAGAATGCTCATGGAACGGCAGGTCCAAATTGGTCGAGACGAGAACGTCACTACCCTCCAATGGATCGCCTCGCCAAAGCTTCGCCCATTCTTTAAACTGATCATAGCCGGCTGAATCATCTGTGGTGCCTCTCCGTTCGGTCACTGTTTGACTGTGCAGTCGTTGTCTTGCCCGTTCCAGTGCTTCGATGACAGCCACTTCAGATCGCGCAGATTCCAGTCCGGCGCAGACCTGGCGGATAAGCCTCATACCTTGAGACAATGCACCGGATATTGTGCTTGTTGGTTCGTTGATGCTGTGGGCAATAAGTGCCAATAAAGCAACGCGACACCCGTTGAATTCGGTGTATGAGACACGCGCGAGGCCGACAGAGTCTTGTAGAAGCTGACACAGCTCGATGACTCTGAGTGCTGCATTAAGTGAGTCACGACGAAGAGTGTTCACAATATCTGGGACTTCATGAACGGGTGAAGCAGACGGTGGGTTAAGCGACCCAGCCGATGCCTGAGATATGATGAAAGGGCGGCCCATGTATATCAGTGTTGTTGTGTACATGATTTCAAGATGCACATTGCAACGGAAGAAGGGCCCGCTAGGAGTGAGGTCGCGACAATAAGTCTCAGTGGGCAGACTGTTCCACCACGAGCTTAGTCGATCACGGGTGGCGGCAAGTTGCCGAAGATGTTTCTTTTTCCTGTCTCTCTGACAACGCCTCAAAGATCTCATCACTTCCGATGCCTTTGCCAGATGATTCGTCAAATGGATTGCGGCGGTGAAGTTGGGTAGATTGCTCAATTGGTCAACCGGACGTAGAGCTGGCAGATCCACAGGCATGGGAGCATCGATTTCGGTGGGGGAAACTGATACAGGGCGTCCATGTAGAATACCGATGCGACTATATCAGAAGTAGAGCTTTTAGCATTTGGTATTAGGTGCCTTGGGGTAGATATAGTCATGTACCTTTCTAGCGAATATGCAGACCACCAGAGCCGATTTCGCACTTCAATGATCTCTGCGCTCACGTTACCTGCTAGCAGCTTGCGGTGCATGCCATTCTGAACAGCCATTTTGATTGCCAGGCCGTAGTATATGTACGCCAATCCAGATGTGTCGATTGGCAAAGTGTACACACCCAGGAGTAAGAATGCCTGGACAGTCTCCACACTTGCAACTGTGATGAGATCCGGAATGAGTCGACATGAAAACCGATAGAGCTCCAATCCAATCTGATCATCGGGGGTATTTTCGGCTGTAGAGACGCCAGCAGGTGTCGATTTAGTCTGCATATGAGCAAACTGTGTGCCAATTGCGAAAGTCATGAGAAGAGTACATATCCAACCAGAGTCATTGATGGACAGCACATGCTCAGCTGCATAGTAATAATCAAGTTTCTCGCGAAACTTTGCCTCATGGAAGTAAAAATAATTGGTTTGGCTGAATTTCAAAAACGCACTGGTCAAGAATTCGGCGATATTCTTTGGAGGGAAATATGATTTCGCAAGCGCGACGCAAGAGCCAGAGGATTGCAGATCAGTCGCTCGAAAAAAGCCTTCGGTATGGTCAACACTCTGGATTTCTGTTAGCAGCGTACAAAAGACTACAACCGACACGAGAGGCTGCTCGGCAAACCTTTTGCCCTGTCCCGTCCCCGAGACTTCGTAGTCGCCGTTCGAGCATTCTGGAAAAGTTCCAATGCGACAACTCCCCAGAATAATCTTGAAATATGTCAACTTGGTGAGAATCAACAGAGAGATGGCGAAACATACGCATTGTACTGGTGGAAAGAGGGTCTATAGAGTAGTCATTGGTCGAGGTGTCATCGTGTGAGACAATCGAATCAGTATCCGACCGTTCTTGGGTCAGATCCTGATCCTGGGCCAAATTGTCTGCAAGTTGTCGGAGCGTGCTGGTATCGAAAGAAATATCACCCAAAAAGTGAGTAATGATTCGCCTCATTTGAAGTGTGTTTGCGTCCTGCTCCAAAGGCCCTGTGTCACTGCTACAGAAATGAGCTTGTCATTCCAAAAAGACTTTAGTTAAGGCTCACCTAGTTTGGCTATTCCTAGCTTCTGTTGGTAGTCGACCAGCACTCTCAAAACGACATGCTCTTTGGTGCTGTTGGCAACGGGTGCAAGGGTTGCCGCCTCCACCTTTCACGTTGGATTGGTTAGCTGATACTCATTCTCGGGCAATCGAATAGGTGTAAAGGTACACTTTTCCTTGTGTTGGCGACAAGGCAAGCATCTAACAGTATTAGAATCTAAATGTCTTAGTATACGGCGTTACTCACGCTTGTGCCGCCCGCTTTCGCAACGACTCCGGTACACGGGGTCGTCTTTGCCTTCCCTTGTGTATCTTGGTACTTGGCTCGGTCATCGCAACATAGGGCAAATTGTTCGTCAAAGATAAACGTCGCGGGAAAATGTGGTCCATGGCCTGCCTGAGGCATGAATGACGTAAGCGACTCAGAACCAGAATAGTCAAAGTTACCCGTTTTCTAATTAGGGGCGGCCCCAAGAGCCTGGGGGCCATCTACCATCTCCCATCTACCCAAAAAAGAACCCCTTGTTATAACTTGGATTTTAGAAGCTCATCATCTCTCACCTGGTATGGCTTCCGGGCCTTCGCTGGTCGACATTCCAGTCGAAATTCTTTACATGGCCCGGTCATTTTTGACCAATCGCGATGTAAGTCTCTACGCTTGACTTGTAAATATCCGAGCAATACGGTGCCATTGATATCTTGTTGTATGGGAAAATGGCACGGCCCTTACCCTACCAAACTGAATACTGAAAAAATTGCAAAAGCGAGGATATATCACGCGGCGCTCAGGATTCTTATATCCTTGTCCTCTCCTTTAAGAGATAGAGATTCCCAAATGGCCGAATTACAGCTTCTGTGAGACCGCCACCTCAGCTACGTGTCTTAGAAGAGTCGTTGATATCGCTTTGCTGTAGCAGACTATGATTTTCCGCAGTTTAAAAAGGATCTTATTGGCGTTTGCGTGAGAAGTTTCAATCTTGTTGACGGAAAATAAGCGTATGTTTATTACAGCTTAAACGTATAAGTAACAAAATGTACTGATAATGGGACTACCTCATCATACAATTGACCGGAGGTACAAAGATCCCATGAATTCTTAGAGCAAGGGTTGCATCAGAGGTGAAGTCCTCCAATGTATGGACAGGCCATATGAGCGTGAGGTCAGGTCGGAATATATATGATTATTACGCCACCAATGAAGCACAAGCAACATCTTCAAAAAACGCAACAAAGATTTTTGAACCAAAGAACTAAAATGCCGATATCAAATAACCATTGGTCCAGTGTATAATACAAAGTAACACCCATCAAACCTTAAGAATCCAACGAGGAGCCACCTCGACGCCGGCTCTTATAATCATCCAACACCCGAACAACATCCTCATTCAACTCCGACGGCGCGAAAACAGACGACCTATTCCTCTTTGTCAAGTCGAAATCAGCCTGCACCCGACCGGTAGAAAGCAAAAGCTCAACTGCCTCGACATGTCCCCTCTCAGCAGCGATCATAAGCGGCGTACTACCCTCCCTGTCCTTCCCGTCCGGTTCGACCCCCTTCGCAAGCAGCAACCGCATAATATGCGTCCGTCCTCGTTGCGCAGCCCTCACGAGTGCCGTAACTCCCTGTTTATTCGGCAAGCTCGGATCAATCTTCTCGATAGCAAGAAGCGCCTCCACAACATCCGTGTGCCCAGCAGCAACGGCAGTTAATAGAGCCCGGTCTCCAAAACGAGGCTGTTGGTCTGGGTCCACGGTAGGGATAGCAAGAAGCACTTTCACGATCCCCGCGTGTCCGTTCCCCGCGGCGGCCAGGAGAGGGCTATCTCCGCTCTGGGATCTAGCGTCCGCGTCCACGCCTTTAATTGCCAGGAGGCGCTTGACGATCCCTAGATGCCCGTTTCGGGCTGCTGCTAGGAGCGGCGTTTGCCCGAACCGATCCTTTGAGTTTGCGTCTACCTTCCCCGTGCGAAGCAACTCCTCTACTACATCTTCTGCTCCCGCTGCTGCAGCAACCGTAAGGGGTGTTTCCCCGCGTTGGGTCCGGCAATCAGGCTGGATGTCTTTCGTCGATAGTAAGAGTTTCACGATAGCGAGGTAATCGTCCGCCTTTAAATGCACGGCATCCGTTGTTGGCCTGGGCGAATTCCACGCCGTGGAAGCAGAAGGCAGGCCGTTTCCGGCTGCCCATGAAAGGGGCGTTCTGTGCTGCGGATCTTGGGTGTTGGGGTTGGCGCCTTCTTGCAGCAGCCGGTTGCAGGGGTCTGGTTTGCCGTGTTTGGCGGCCCATATTAAGGCCGAGCTATCTTGATGAAAGATTTGGTGATGGTAGAGAATGGGGTTAGTGATTGCGTACAGGATTTTAGATGCTTTGGCTAGAGAATCCACGTCTTGTACCGATGGGAGGAGGTGGGTGGCGATGCATGAGAGTAATTCGGTTGGGAGAGTTGGTAAAGACATGTTTATGTTTGTCAAGGATTTGGAAAAATGGGGAATCAAGCCGGGCTGGACCAATGGAGGGAGGCAAGTTAACTTATTAAGTACCCCCTGGGCTGTGGGGACTTTGGTTGTCAGAGTAGGGATGGGACTAAGAATACTTCGACGGAGAACGAAGAAAACGTTGCCGAGAGGGGCCGAGGGTGCCTGAAAGATGTCTGAAAGATGAGTGATTGGCGTTGCTTAAAGCGGGCAAGCCAACCATCACTAAACGAAGGCATAGTCTGATCTTTATACCTTGGTATTTTCCTCCAATATTCGGTAGCTTTCAGACGGATTAGAGGGCCGGTTATAGGAAATCCTCTTGATGTATGTCGTCGCTGCCACTCAAAAAGAACCTCGTCTAATAGTGGCTAGTGTGCAGTGGACTTCCTGACTTTAGTCCCAGCTTCATTGCGATCTAGATGATCATATTGAGACGAAAGTATACGCGAAACCGTCGTCCGATCGATAGTTCGGTTGAATTTGTCTTTAAACCACGCAGCGCAAGCTTTTGGGTAGGCTGCGGACGAGTATTAGACAAAAAGAGGCGTAGTGCTTTCCTCTGAATATCGGTAATACCCTTATTTGGACGTTTTGGGTGGGGGATATGCGATGAAAGCACGACCGGGGTTCACATCGGAGGGGCTGGAGGAAGGCTCGGCGAGCGGGAATCCTGCATCGTGATTGGTCGATTATGATAAATAAACGAGAAAACAGCTGTGCATAAGGTGAATGGCGCAGGTCGCGGGATGTTTGTATACTTCAAAAGGATTGCTTATCCCATTCTCGGGCAGTCGAATAGGTGTAAAGGTACATTTTTCCCTGTTGAAGTCGAATAGCACCCACATGGCTTTGAAAAAGCTTACTTTTTGCAAACGGAATTCGACTATGTTGAAACATGGAGAGAATATGCAATGGGTGGATGCCTCAGCAGCGCGGGAAAAATTGTTGCAAGCAAGGCTCAGAAATCGAGGCACGAGCAAGCTACTGTTCCAGTCTCTACCTCTGTAAATTTGACTGTGCAACCCAGATTTCAATGATTTGTTAGAGAGGGGGACTTTCTAACTGACTGGTACCCAGCCCCAAAACCAATAAATCCTTATGGTACTCCTTTTAGTGTCGGACTAAAATATTGGTTATTCAGACTCAATCGCTTCCAGGACGACTTTCATATATCTATAGCGGGCTGCTTGCATCCCCACTGACCCGTTCCGACAAGATATGTTAAGCAAAGCTTTGATGCTTGTATTTATTCCGGGGGCATAAGAACAACCCAAAAATTATCTAAAAACAAACTCCAGTAACTCAAATGCCCTAGCCAGAGGTTTTCAACTCCACCCCATTAATGACATCCACACCTTCACGCACAAGTACGTGCCTCACATGGTTTGCAAGCCCACGTGGCCAACTTGGTGTGTTCCAATATCGTACTTTGAGGCCGTGCTCGTGTGCAGCTCTGATTTGGTGTCGAAGCTTACAAAGCTGGCCCTGAGAGAATCCGATAGGTTTCACGGTCCCAATTGTTTTGTGAAAATCGGCAGAGGCGTAGTAACTGTTGTACGGGCTGTATGAAAGCTCGTCTGTCGAGTTATTCACTGAACGAGAGGGGAGACTATCGATAGGAGCGTCGAAAAAGATATCGCGACGAAATGTTTGTTTCAATACGCGATGGAAGGGTGCTTTCCCCGAGGCGACGACAGTAATGGGGCGTTGGATGACAGATGATCCGTTGAAAAAGGTTAGGTATCCCCCTTCACGGAGCGGCTCTAGATGTTCGATTAGACGAGACCAAAGACGCTCGCCGTCGGAATTGAAGTTGATAAGTAGTACTAGAGTCTGTGAAGGGTCATTGGGAAACACTCCCACGGCATCATCTTCGTCAATATTTCCATCCGAAGGTAGATTGAGCGATCGCGTGTTATTTTCTCGCAGCATTCTCAACAGTGGGTCAAGATACAGAGTGCGCAAGTTCTGACCTCGCACTAAAGTTTCGGGCGTATATCCCACCAGAAGCTCGTTTTCCGATAGCCAGACATTAGATTCAATGCCGGTGCAGCCGGCGGCAAGGGTGACATGCAATGGGACGCGGCCCCAATACTCTTGACGTGAGTGGCAGGCGATAGGGATCACATCATGGGTCGGCCGGTGGGAGAGAAAAGATAGTGGACCATCAGGTAAAATCATGGCACCGAACCCAGATTTAAGATCATCCGGGAAGAGATAGACAAGCCCGCTAAGTTGATTAAAAAGTAAGCCTTACTGCGTTCGCCACAATAACAATGGGGACCGCTTGATGAGAGCCAAAGACCACCTACAGAATGACCACTAGACCCCAAAATGGACGCTGCACTGTTCGAAAGAAGAGTGCTCGTTTCGACCAAGGTCGCGTGTTGCGCTGCACATGGGAGCATCCCCGCGTTGATCGGCCGCATTTAGTGCAAGAGATTGGATTGCGCTTCACCCAAGTGGCCGATTCGAGATCTAGCAAGGGTGAAGCAGACGGATTCTCCTCGCGTTTGATCTCAAGCGGACTGAGCTCCGAGCTATGATATTGCGTAGTCATGGTGATTCAATGATCCAAGAGACTGCCAAGAGTCGCTACGAAGCTTGATTATTATATATGGGTTGCCGATCCCTCAATTGCTCGTGTGCACAGCCTTAAAGTCAAAAACGCATCTGCCTAAAAACCTAACGGCCCAGACTAGCTTAGGAGTAGTGAAATCACGTTCGATCATTTAAAGTGCGAGTATTTTTGGGTCAATAACCTAAATATTAAGAATTAAACATCAAGAGTTAAGTATCGAGAATTCAACTATCACGCTATCGCGAATTTAAGCATCGTGAACTTGAATATTCAGAATTCGAGTATTTAAAATTCGATTATTAAGGGTAGGACTTAGATATTCTTATTATAGAGTATTTTAATTGAGAGAAATAACTTGGTGAATTTAAATTGGTGCGAAAAGCTGTATTCAATTGTAAAAACTACTGATATTTGAAAAGGGACTGCAGGCAAAATCCCATGTGGCGCACTAGACGCGTCGTAGGATGGGGGTTGTTAATTGGAGAGTTTTAATGTACGTACCTGTCATTTGACAGCGGAGTACCCGCCCCCAGGTTTGCGTTTAACAATCGAACCCTGGTTTCGGTTATACGCGTAATTAATGACGAATAAAATGCCTGAGGTATTAATATCTTTCTTAAACTTGACTCGGGATATAAATTGCTTAGCTATTTTATCTGGGGGAGTTTGCTACGTTATATGTGTACCCAATTGACTGAAATTTCACCGAAACCTTTTTTTTTTTTTTTTTTTGATATGCAAATTAATATGCTTCAAACATGAAGCCTGTCACACAATGTCTTTCTATCAACGTCTACAATAACCTTTTACATGGCAATGTGACGTTTAGAAACACTGTGGTATTGAGGTATTTCAATCTTTTATTTAATTAAGAGACCAAACTGAAACAGTTCGCTCTCGACAAGTGGTCAACTTTACGAGAAAAGGAATATTCCCGTCCTCATATCGGCTGAAGACGTGAATAAAATGGTGATTTCACCAGGCGAGCGAAGTGTAATCTCCTTCTGCGGAAGCGCGACATATAAATTGGGAGTTAAGGGTCAGCTCGATATTTACGAAAATGACGACACCCGTATAGCCTCGCTGTGCTGGAACGGACCATGGACACGGCATGGAAATCGGTTCGAGATAGCAAACGTCGAGGTCGAAAGATACTTTGTGAAAGGTTCACCTGTTCATCGCAATGGGGTTTTAGGAGATATCTCAATTACCGTGACACAGGCTGATAAATGAAATATTGCGTTAAGTAGCGTCCTGGGCGCTTTTTGATATGAACTATTAGGGCAGAGAATGAAATAACTCCGCAACATGATAATGCTACAGAAGCCATCTCTGAAAAGGTAGCGGTGATCATGTTCAAGTCTACTGACAGGTTCAACCCTTCATCGAAAATGGCTAAAATTAAAACACGGAAGGGCAGATGTAGTCTATCCTCCGAATGGCTTTGCCAACATGGATTGGGATATGATATCAGTGAAAGCTAAACCAAGGAGAATATTACCAAGGATGCTACCACCCATAATGTCACAGCCAGCGTCAACATAGTCCGAATAACGGGCTGCGCAGATGCACCAGGCGACGGCGACTAGCCTCGCGGCAAGTGAAGCAGAGAATTTATGTGCATATGTACATACGACAAGCAAGACCCTTGCAATAGATTTTTGCACGTCTCGTCGGACGCGTGTCCAAACGTAGATTCTCTGGATTCCATTTTCCAGGGGCGGCCAAATTGTTGTGTGGACTGTTACTAGTCAACCTCGGCCAGAACTACCGCACAGGAAGCGGCGTAGATAGGTGGAATCCTGTGCTGTTATCAGCCACCCATGCATCATCACAGTTCTGCCGATAGGGTTCATCAACACAGCAAACCGGTGTCCAAGTGGGGTCTTTAACTCAAACTCAGGAAATATGAGCTATCTGTCATAGCCAACAGGTGCCTGCAGTGGTTGCCTTTCCACATTAGACTTTTCTGAAACACCAACTCGTTATATTTGTAGGCAGGGATACAGATCGTCTGGTGATAAGGTCTCTGCTAAGGAGTCTCTAGGGAGTACGCGTAAGTCGATGGTGATTCATGAGATCAAGTTTTTGACCTTCAGGGTACCGACCAAAGTGGCAGTTGATCTTGGATTGTTCCAGATTCATCGAGAATTGTAGGTGCACTCCCTGCAATAGATCCATAATCAAGCCCTATTCTGGGAAGGTGGCTGTGTTTCACAGTCGGGATGCCATGCTTATAAGGGGGGCCTAGCCGCTCCCCAATATTCCCATAAGGCAGGCACCAAGGCCATCATGAGAAATGCGGAAACGCTTATCATGTGAAAGGACATATTGACAGTTGAGGGTGATATCAGAAACTACCGTTCCTGTGGCTACCATGGAGTTCCTTGTTTCTGAAAAGTATAACAACCTCGGTTTCGTAAAATGTTCCGAAATTCAGACCTGGTGCCAAGATTTGCTAAGCTTCCTGAGTCGTTCAAGCAACGTGGGCAGGCCGGCGCACGTTGTTGCATTTACACTTTCTTCTTTCAGGATATACTCATTTTGGCATCGGTATGGGCCGCACAACTACTATTCAGGAGGACCTAGATAAGCGTTTTTCCACACCTAGAACCCATTCATGGTCCATCCGTACTTCCGGTCCCCGCTCTGCTCCACCCGCTGGCGACAGCAAATGAAGTTACAGATCTAGTACTGTACAAGCCCAAAGTCGAGACCCATTGACGATCACGGGCGGAGATATCGGGACCCTGATCAGGTTTGACTGTGCCCCCAAGCCAATCTGCACTGGCCATCACTCAACGTGTCACAAATGCCGCCGTCGATTACACCACTCGGAATACGGTTGGCAGAGCGATTACGGCATTCAGGCACGGGACATGGGAAACGTTCTGCGAAACTTTGTGTGTGTGTGCAATGATCTTGGCAACAACAGAAACCGAAGGATTTATGACTTGATCAACTGCCAAGAGTGGGTTTTGCATCAGCCTTATGTCTGTAGGTTATACCCGAAAACATTCCGATGACATTTGGGGCATTGCAAACTGAACCCGCTGAAAGATGTGGTGGATGACCTCTAGCAGCTGGTGAACAAGTCTTGGCCTTCTCCGCGGCTTCGTACACGTTTCTTGGTTGGGAAGTGGAGACACTAATCGGAAACCCTAAACTACATGACGATGTACACAGTCCAGAACATGGTGCAGATCCCAGCACTGTGGGTGAGGCGTCCCTCCACCACAGGGTCGTGTATGGTGGTGGGTCAGTGGGTTTGATCGGCCGGACGAGCCCTGATCAACAAACCAGAATTACTGTATGTAACACTAGTGTGGCTCGGGGCCCTGCAGCATAGTGGATTTTCTACTGTCGATCTTGTCCCAGCTTGTATCAACCAGCCCCTTTTTCTTCCTTGTTAGGCATCGATGTTTCTTGAGAAGCAAGGGCTAAGATCCACCTATGGATTGAGAATCAGTTTCAAAGCTGCAGAAAATACATACGTAATACCTTGGGCGTAGCCATTAAAAATAGGTACTGTGAAACGTCATCTGCATGACAGGAGGATGATCAAATCTACGCAAGTGCGTGGTGGGCCAAGATCGTCGCTGCAATCATGCGGCACGTGGAGCGATGAGGCCCTGACAACTCTCTTCTCTAAAGAAGTGGGCTCGTTTCGAAGCCTTAGCATTGGAATTATGATTGGCTTTACTACTTCGCACGCACATAGTTAGATTGCAGGAAATCGGGATAATTTGAGCTAAGATACCGAATGAAAAGGAACTAAGACTCTCTATATGTCTAGATTCAGTGAAGGGTGCTCCTATGCAATCCTGTAAGCCCTAGGTTAGAACCTAACTGTATACTTTCTCATCTTTTTGCAGGGCTTTTGTATCCAGTAGATAGTTCAGTACAAAGTACATAAGCTAGGTGGAGGAATCCGATAACGAACGCCTTCCTTTGCCCTGTAGTAAATGTCAGGTACGGAGGCTGAGAGATAAAGTCAACTGAGTTCTTAAAGGAAGGAAATTGCGTTCCGAAACACCCTAGCCATTAGGGGCCGAGACACATACTGCAGACAAAGCCTGTTCGAAAGGTTATCAAGGACAGCTTAGCTGTCCCGGGAAAGTAGGGCCGGACACGTTGTGTGTACCTGGATCCATATTCGTCGTGTTCAGCAACAACGACTTTACTATATCCGTTAGGTGCTTGCTACTCTCAATCGTCAAGTCGGTCTCAGTGGTTCACCGTGGTAAAATCTACAGTGGGTCCCGTCTGCCTGGCCATTTGTGACGTGCGCTCGACCTGTGTATCAGAAGTCACTGCGCCGAACGTGAAAATACAAAAGGGGTCAGGCCTGAATCTCACGTCTAGACCAGGTTGGAGCAGACAAACCAAAGTTTTTCACCTCGTTGTCTTTGTCCTTTTTTGTTATATGCAAGACTTTACTTCTCTCAATATCAAAATACCCTACCATGTCATCCTTCAACTCGACTGAACAGCTCAAGGAGCCTCAGATCTCAGAGAACTCCGTTAACTCGAGCCCCATTCTCTCCCCGCAAGATGATAAGCCACTCACAGCGGGAAATTTGGCCTCTGTCAAACTCGAAAGCCAAGCACCATCGCCACCGCAATACCATGTCTTTAGTCGATCGCGCAAGCTGGGGATGGTCTGCGTTATCTCCCTTGCCGCTATCTTCTCTCCGTTATCTTCCAATATATATTTTCCTGCACTGCGTACAATATCGAAGGTTAGTGGTTCGATGTGACGAGATACGTACTCGATGTTAACTATAGTATAGGAAATCGGCATCTCCATGTCCTTGACGACCCTAACCGTTACGGTATATATGATCGCTCAAGGTCTGGCCCCGAGCTTTTGGGGTGCTATTTCTGATGTTACTGGCCGCCGCGTGGTCTTTATTGGAACGTTCATTGTTTATATTATAGCAAACATCGCGCTTGCTGTATCTCAGAACTATGGCGAGCTCATGGCCTTTCGCGCCTTGCAGGCTGTCGGCAGCTCAGCAACTATCTCGATTGGTATGGCTCACTTATTCCTCTACTTCAACCATTAACGGAATCGCTAGGGGCTGGTGTCATTGGTGACATTACTACATCGGCGGAGAGAGGTAGCCTTGTGGGAATTTTCGGTGGAGGTAAGTTGCACGCCAACCCAGCCTGTTATCTAGTCTGACAGGTCGAAAGTTCGCATGTTGGGACAGGGCATCGGCCCTGTTTTCGGTGGCATCTTGTCGCAGTATCTGGGCTTCCGGTCAATCTTCTGGTTTCTGGTGATTCTATCTGGATTAAGTCTCCTCTCAATCCTTTCGTTTCTTCCTGAAACCATTCGAACCATCGCTGGTAACGGCACTGTCCCTCTTCATGGTATCCATAAGCCGTTCATCTACTATATCACCGGGCAAAAGGAAGCTCAGAAAAATGCAGTCCCACCTGGAAAGAAGGCTAAGGTGACTTGGAGAACTGTTCTAACTCCTTTAACCTTCTTGGGCGAGAAGGACGTTTTTATTACCCTGTTCTTTGGTAGCACTGTGTACACTGTGTGGTCCATGGTTACCTCCTCGACATCGGATCTCTTCCAGTCAACGTATGGACTGACTACCTTGGAGGTTGGACTCACTTTCCTGGGCAATGGTGAGCAACATCCCTTGCACATCATACATTTTGTTCTAACCATTCCCAGGCTTTGGATGTATTTCCGGCTCCTACACCATTGGCTACCTGATGGATTACAATCACAAGCGGACAGAGCGCGAATACTGCCGCAAACACAACCTCCCCATCAATACTCGCATTACGTCTAAGACACACCCCGGCTTCCCTATCGAATATGCCCGCATGCGCAACACCTGGTGGATCACCGCACTGTTCATAGTGTGTGTTGCCCTCTACGGAGTCTCGCTGCGAACGCATGTTGGCATTCCTATCATCTTACAGTACATCATCGCCTACTGTGCCACTGCCATATTCACCATTAACAGCGCTCTAATCATCGACCTCTATCCAGGGGCCAGCGCTAGTGCGACCGCTGTCAACAACCTGATGCGATGCGAAGTTGGTGCTGCAGGTGTTGCGGCTGTTCAGCCCATCATCGACGCTCTGACTCCAACGTGGACGTTCGTACTGCTCGCTGGTATTACGCTCAGCATGACCTCGCTGTTGATGATTGAGATGCGGTGGGGAGCGGGTTGGAGGCTAGAACGCCTGGAGCGACTGAAGCACAAAAAGGACAACGCATAATGGGTTCCCCTGTCTACGTGATCCAAAAGACGATATTGGGGTGGATTTAGTAACTCACGCTCTTTGGTAGGAGCTACTATTTCCGTGGAAGGGCAAGGCACACTAAAAGTGGAAAAGGATACAGACTAAGCAGCTGGTCTTATAACGACTTTCTTACTTTATCTTCTGGTATTGGGTCGTTGATGCGAAGATGCGCGTCAACGATTATTGGTTATTTTGTTTTTTGTCTTTGAATTTTTGGCTATTGATAGACTTCTCCTAGACTGGCCGTACATAGAAAGATCGAATCTCTGTTTTTTAAAGTATTATTTTTACCTGAAATAAGGGCCTCTTTAGATAACTGACAGCAATTTATATCTCCTATCCTGACTAACAGACCTTGTGTTATATATAGCCCGAAAATTCGCTAAGGAGTGTCTTAGCGAAGAAAAGTTGATGTTCCTGATGGAAACTGCAATGCCGTGATTGACGATATTCTTAGCAAGAGACTTGGGGAAAGAACGGTAAAAGACCTCCTTTGTGTTTGTTAAAACATGACGGCTAACCGGATCCTGTCATCAACATTTTCAAATTGGTGCGCTTCTCAACGACAGCTTGGCTACACTAGCATCCAATTATCCCAATAAGATCCAGAGTCTACGTGGCAAAAGTAAGGGCACATACGTTGCGTTTGATATTCCAAGTTCGAGCACTTTGCTGAAAAAGATGCGCGAGTTAGGCATCAACATCGGCAGCTGTGGTGTGCGGACCATTCGCTTGCGTCCCATGCTGGTCTTTAAGGAAACCCATATCGCTTCGCTTCTGGCAGCCTTTGAGACAGCCTCTTGTAGAAATGGCCTAGTTTTAGTAAAAGAAATAGTATCGCTATAGTCTAGTCATCACGAGCATATAGCCTGGGAAGGCCAGATTGTCATGTCTTGAGGAGACCCTTATTTTTGTCGACTTCTAGTTATCTGTCAAAGTAAGCTGCAGTACTTCGCAAAACTAGATTGGATTATCTCTAAGGGTATAGCTCCATACTGTCGCCCCTTGGAGACTTCAATTGAGAGTCCGAGATAAGCCCGTGACGTGAGGGGCAGAAACAAGACAGGATGGGATGAAAAGCCTCATGTCCAGGGATGCCGACCGAGTCCCGGGCGCAAATCCAATGTCGTGGTGAAAAACATCTATATGTTTAGCCAAAAATTCTCCAAGTATCAAAATTCGGAGGTGACAAACGCCCGATGACGCCCGACGCCCGACGGACGGCCGAGTTATCGCCGCTTCCGCATTACCCGAATAAGCTGATTTTGCTTTGACATTCTGCCAGTCTGCCACTCTGATACCTCTCGTGAGGGGAGAGTATGACGCTTTTCTCCTCATGAGGAGACGCAGTGAGATCCACAGTCGTCACTCTGAAGACTTACCTAGAAAATCTTCCATCAATTACATCAATGCGAGGTTACATGCAAGCCAATTCATCAGCCCTACCACTTCAAGGTCCACGGACATGGTCTCGCCCTGATGTCTCTCATAACCGGCAAGACCGGCAGTACAGCCAAGACAGGCAAAATAGCATGTTTGCAAATGTTGTTGCGATGAAGATTGGAATATAAAATCGGCGCGATGCCTCGTCGGCTCTTGCTCTATCCACACACAACAGACTCGAACGGTCAACATTCAACTACTCCCTTACCAAAAATTCCAAATCTCATACCATGGCTTTCGTTTCCAACGGCTCTGAGTACGACTTCATCATAGTCGGCGGTGGCACGGCTGGCAATGCAGTTGCTGGTCGCCTTGCCGAGAACCCTGAAGTACGCATTCTCGTTGTTGAAGCTGGTATCCCCAACCCAGATCAGATCCAGCAAATTACCACCCCGTCGAAAGCTTTTACTCTACGTGGAAGCAAGTACGACTGGTCCTACAAGACAACTATGATCAAGCGCGATGACTATGAGCGTGTTGAAAAGCCTAATACCCGTGGAAAGACCCTTGGTGGCAGTTCATGTGCCAACTACTTCACCTGGATTCCTGGATCGAAGCCTACTTTCGACGACTGGGAGGCTTTCGGCGGCCGTGACTGGAACTGGGACTCCTGCGTGGAGTACCTGCGCAAATGCGCCACCTACCACGATGAGGAAAAACTGTATCCCGCCGAACTTAGCAAGATTGGAACCGGAGGCCCTGTGCAGATCTCCCATGCCGACTTGGTGCCGGAGATGAAGCCGTTTCGCGATGCGCTCACTGAGGCTTGGGTTTCTAAGGGCCAACCGCTGAGCGAGGACATCTACTCCGGCGAGATGAAGGGTCTGACCCACTGTGTTGACACCATCTATCGAGGAGAACGCCAGGGTAGCTTCCTCTACTTGAAGAACAAGCCCAACGTGACAATTCTATACGGAGTTCAATCAAAGAACTTAATCATCGATCCTGCCACGCGCATCTGCTCCGGTGTTACTGTTATCAGCGAGGCAGCCGGTCAAGAGATCAGCATCTACGCTAGTCGGGAAGTCATCCTGTCTCAGGGTGTCTTTGAGACTCCAAAGCTTCTCATGCTCAGCGGCGTGGGTCCGACAGCGGAACTGGCTAAACATGGAATCACTCCCATTGTGGAATCACCTCACGTCGGCCAGCATCTTCTTGACCACCCAATTGTGCCGTTTGTTCTTGAGGTGAAGGATGGGTACAGTTTGGATGACTATGTCCTCCGCCCCGGTCCTCTGAACGACAAAGCACTGTCCACTTACCAGAAGGATAAGACCGGCCCTGCAAGCTCTGGTTTCCTAGAACTCGTGGGATTCCCCCGAATTGACGAACGCCTAGAGAAGTATCCTGCCTACCGCGAGGCAAAGGCTGCCAACGGTGGACTGGATCCTTTCGGTCCGGCGGGCCAACCTCACTTCGAGCTGGACTTCGTCGGCTTGTTCAGCACTGCATTCCAGTGGCATTACCCTATGCCCGAGAAGGGCAGCTACATGACCTGCATTGTTGATCTTCTGCGGCCCCTTTCTGAGGGTGAAGTTACCTTGAACAGCTCGAACGCACAGATTCAGCCCAACATCAACCTTAACTTCTTCGGTAATAACTTGGACATTCTTGCCATGCGGGAGGGTGTGCGCTGGACATATGATATTTTGACCAAGGGTGCTGGGTTCAAGGACATTGTTGTCTCGGAGTACCCCTGGAAGATGCCTCTTCAATCGGATGAAGACATGAACCGGGCCGTTCTCGATCGCAGCCAGACTGGATTCCGTAAGATGACTGACTGACCCCTTCAATAATTTTGAGCCAAGTCTAATAATTTATTACACAGATCCTTGTGGTACAGCACGCCTGTCGAAGAGCATCCACCAGGGTGTTGTAGACTCAAAGCTGCGAGTTCATGGAGTGCGCAACCTGAGAATCGCAGATGCTTCTGTCATCCCTGTCATCCCTGATTGCCGTATTCAAAACTCGGTTTACATGATTGGCGAAAAGGTTAGTAGGGAATCCGCTTGCTCCGAGAACAACAGTAACACATAACTTAGGGCGCGGATATCATCAAATCTGAACACAAGGATCTGTACGAGTCGAAGAATATTCCTTACCATGTCTCTAGCAGACTGTGATCTGCCACTGATTGACTCAGACTGTGATATTTTGCATTATGTGAAAACACTTAGATTGTTTTGCTCGATCGCATCTTTTCTTTCTTTTGCTCCTAACTCCGTTATACTTACTTTATCGAAAAATATACTACAAGTTCCCGTATCTCGATTCTTGCTCAGTTTCCAACTACCAAATAGCTGTATTTTTGTCCTGACAAACAAGCCATAGATCGCACAGACCATAAACAAGACTAGCTTGCACCTAAGCCGAATGAAGCAAGGGGCCATGAGATCACCTTGCAAGCTTTGGATATATGATATCTGAGTATTGCGTCGTTCCCACACATGCAAAGCGACATGGCCCACATCCTTTGACTGCATTGGGTAGACCTCAAGAGATAAGCCGCGTGCAACTTGATATGCATTATGACGCCACTTGGCCTAAGCGATTGTTCGCTGCAGACTCTTACGGTCGGGTTGATAACGCGACTATTGCCGCCATTAAGAGGAATATCCGGATGACATCGGTCGCTTGAATAAAGGAATATGTCTTCAATCTCTCCCTTATGGTCTTTCCAGATGCGGGCTCGATAGGTGGACAAACTTGTTGATCGAGCCCCGACCGTAACCCCCAAGAAGCGGGAGGAAACGGTGTTGTTGGGGCTATTCATATTTTGCAAGACTAACTCACGCGAACTCGGGTCTCAGCGGCACTCGCTCGAGGCCTTCAAGCTCCGGCAGGAATCTGGATCGCCGCGAAAATTGCTGTTAGGTAGGGAAGTCCTGAAGCATGCGGGGTGGGGTGCCAAGAGTTTAGGGGTGGCAGCCGCTGGAAGAGTGGTTGGAGTATATTATCGTTATTTGTTGCCAGTTCCTGATCTGACTCCCTCAACTGTCAGTCCAAAGGCTTATGCAGCTGCTTCTGACGGGTCTGGCATGCGACCGATATGTTGCGTCTTATATGCCTCGCTTGAGTGGCCCTTACATAACTGCAATCCTTCATAGTTTGCAATCTCTGAATCAACTTCGGCCGCCCATTGAAGAAACCTTGATCACTGTCCTTTTGAGCTTTTGTAACTTATCGTATGCTTTTTGCTATAGCTTCTCCTGCAATTCACCTTTTGTTGCCTGGTAATGTAATGACCAATGTTGGAAAATTCCCCCGGCCGGGTAATCTTCGACACTCTTCGTCAGCGGCGTTGACGAAGTTTCCGAGGTTTGGGCTAAAGTTATCATCAATTGGCATTCTATCACAATAATGAACACATAAGAAGGCAGTATGATTTCTCATTGTGGAAAGATGACATAAGATGACGAAAGTAGCCTTCAAAATCGGCATGGTCAAACTTGCGTCACGATGAACGCAGATAAAGCAGGTCTGCTATACTTCTCACTAATTTATACTACAAGATCAAAAACCCTCAAAACCCCTCCCAGCTTTATATTCTATATAACACATCCAACAGTCCCAAAATGGCACCAATAACACGCGCCTCAGTCCAAAAAATTCCTCTATCCTACGCCTCCTGCTCAATCGGCTGCGGCTCCAATGACACTCTCCCCCGCAAACTCGAAGCAATCAGCAAAGCCGGATTCACCTCGATCGAGCTTTCATTTCCCGACATTTTGGAACATGCAGCACATCTACAAGGCCATTCAATTTCGGCAGATAATTTTTCCACGCTCGTCACAGTCGCCGACGGGATCCGGAAGCTCTGCGATGCCAATTCATTGACCATCATGATGCTGCAACCGTTTGCGAACTTCGAGGGCTGGCCAAAGGGGTCAACGGAAAGAGAGGATGCTTTTACGAGGGCAAGGGGTTGGATAGAGATTATGAAGGTTCTAGGGACAGATATGCTGCAGGTATGAATTGATTTGTATTGCGATGTGAATTGTCAAAATTAACCAGTTCCGCAGATCGGAGCTACGGATACACCACCAGACAAAATATCAATCGCCCGTGAAGCAATCGTTTCCGACCTCCGTGAACTAGCCGACATGCTGGCAAAGCACAATTTCCGTATGGCTTACGAGAACTGGTGCTGGTCAACTCATGCACCAGGCTGGAAAGACGTATGGGAAATCGTCTCAGCCGTCGACCGCCCGAATGTCGGGTTGTGCCTAGACACATTCCAGACAGCAGGGAGTGAATGGGCAGACCCGACGACGGAATCCGGACTCATCGAAGAGGTACCGTATAATGTTTTGCGCAAGAACTTCGCTGCTAGCATGGATGAGCTCGCTCGCACCGTTCCGCCTGATAAAATCTATCTGCTGCAGATCTCGGATGCGTACAAGGTTTCTCCGCCACTCATCAATCAGGCTATTGAAGGACTAAGGCCACGTGGTCACTGGAGTCATGATTATAGACCTATGCCGTACGATGGGGGTTACTTGCCGATTGAGGATGTGGCGAAGGCGGTGTTGAAGACTGGATTTCGTGGGTGGTTCTCTATGGAAATCTTTGATGGCGGGCCAGAAGGGAAGGGGAAGAAGTATGAAATGGAAGCTTATGCAAAGAAGGCGATGGAGAGTATGCAGAAGTTGTTGATGAATTGCACGGATGAGTGATGGTAATGCAGTACGGTTGAATATTTCATTTTCTGAGACAAAATAGATACACATGTCAATTTCTTCCTCTATTCAATAATTCAAACGGAGGCAAACGAGTGCCTTTTATCGAGAAGAACGCCAAGGGGAAAATACTATTCACGTCGTGATATCATAGGGCACAAATAACAAGTTGAACGAGTCGAGCTCATAGCTCTCTCTACCCTAATCCGCCTTGCTGGGTAGACAACAATAGTGTAGGCGGAGAACGGACTCGTCCTGATTAGACATCGCCATGGTTCCAAGGTGCCGACCCCAAACCCGCAAGTTCAAGGTATATAAATAGGATTGGTTTCTATCAATTCTCGTCAGCAGTCTATTCATCCATCAAATGTTTCGTACGATTACAAACAAGTCCAGACCTCGGGAACGTCTTGCTGGTTAGCGAAGCGACAGCAAGTGGCGACCCTCGGAATTATGGAGGGTAAACATCTTTAGATTCTGGTGCCAGACTTTCAGTGAGAAGTGTAGTGCACCAGGATCCCATTTGTACATTGAGTGGCATGGTAAAACAGAAGGAATCGTGTAATGAGGTTTGACAGAGCATTCAGAACTTCAAACGGCCGTCGGGCGGCTTTGCCCCAGAAGAAGTTAATCAGGTTATCAAGAGTGCAAACGATATCGAGCTTCATGCGATTGAGGGGCATAAATGCTGTAATCTTTCCATGTAGCAGTTTTGGGTAATGTAGAACGATTTTCATATATCCAATCAAAGCAGAGAGATTGAAGTCCGATAATATCTATGAGTCCTGCAATGGCACTGTAGCCGCTCAATCATAGATCTACTCTTGAGAAGTCTCTCAGAGAAACCATATGTTCAATATAGTGCAGCAGAAAATCAAATACCATCAGAACGTGGCATACGCTCGATACAATGTCAACCCCGTTTTTGTCGAAAACTCCAACTCAGCGTCTCTTGCGGCAAAATAGACATTCCCTTCCCCTATATCATGGACTGTTCCATCACCCACATTCATCTTTCCACATCCTTGAGTAACAATCAAGACACTGGGGCTCCCAAGCACTCGGTGCTTCTCAGTTTCCGGGGGAGACAAGGTCACGCCCAAAACATTGAACTCGCTGAATGGAGGCGCATATTCATTGGACTTTCCTTTCAGTCCAATCGGACTCTTCTTCGATTGGAGAAGAGACTCTCCTTGGTTATGTGGCTTGAATGTAAGTGCCTGTGCGAATAACTCGACATCATCACGGTCAGGACGGGGGCAGAAGCCTGTGTTTAGGACGTTGTCAGACCGCGCCATGCACTCGATAATGTCACCCGAAAGGTACGCATGGATGCTGTCGGCTGGGACACAGACAGCTTCTCCAGGCTCCAAAATCATGTAGTTCATTAGAAGAGCGGCGACCAAGTTTCCGTTGTCAAATTTTGAATATTGCTTGCTAAGTCGATCGAGGAGCGACGGAACATGGTGATCGTTTCCAAACTCAGACATAGGAGTATCTTGTAGTTTTGTGATAGCCTCTGATACGGTGTCCGGGGGTAAGGTTAACAGAGTCTTGCATAGTTGTCGTAAAGCTCCGTCATCAAAGGTCTTGTGCGCTGGCATAAATTGCTCCAATGGCTTCAGCCGCATGAGCTCTGCAATTTCATCGAGGGGTTTGAATCCCACAAATAATTCAAATCGAGACAATGCGATGGCGATCTCGGGCTTGTGGTTGGTGTCGCCGAATTTCTCAGGGTCCCTCGTGTGTAAATGCTCGGCAAGGGCTTTGTCTGGATGAATTTGAAGCGGAAGCGCTTTAGCAATGGAGAGCACCTGCACATAGTTAGAGCCGGTGTCATCCTTATTACATTTCCTCTATCTTTCACCTTGGGAAGAAAAGGGATGTCGGGTCCGTATGTATCGCAAACCGACTGTCCAACAAGATCGGGATTATTCTTGAGATGCTCAGAGAGGAGCTTCCCAGTAGAACGAATCCGAGATGGCACAGAAGGATACGTACCCATCCACATCTGTATGACATTAACACCATTGCTTCATCGTGTATAGACGGAAGAGGTACTGACTTCAGAATAAGTCTCTGAGGCGTCTAGCTCTCCCGCGTCAGGCATATGCGACCAAAAGCGCCCAGCAAGCGAACTTTTGCCTTGTTTGCCCCACGGGTCATGCTAGGATTGTATCTTTAGTTTCCTCCTGGGTAGTCATGTTTTGAGGTGTCTTACCTTGCATTCGCACAGGAGTTGCAATACTCCGTCCGCCATTGTAAAGTGTGTGTTTGAGCTGTTCGAAATATGTGCGAATCGATTATGAGATATTTTCAAAAGGTTTTTAGCCAGGCCATTTGGATTGCCAACTGAGAGATGCGACCCATTACGTTGATATTCCGTCATCCACATGTTCCTATGAACAGGTTGATCTCACATCGGGCCACTTTGCCAAGACCCA